TCTGCAGGGCAGAGCTGGGTTTCAGTTCCAGCCCGCTCCATTGGAGCTGTTCAGCCTCAGAACTGGGCACTCCAGGAGGAAAGAGGTCTTGGTCCCAGGGTGGGCTCTCCTGGGCACTTACCATGTGCCAGACCTTGCTCTTGGCTCAAGCCTGCAGTCCCGGGGGGCAGGGATGAACCACCCCATTGTGCACATGGGGAAACTGGTTCCTCTCAAAGGGGTCTGGGAGCCCTCCGCAAACCGCTCGCCTCTGTGCGCCGGTTGGGGCAGGCGCGGTGTGTGGGGCTGGGGTGCCCTCTAGCGGCCGCCGTGGTCCGGCTCGCGGCTGCTGGGCGAGGAAGTCCCTAATTCGGGCCGCGGGTGGTTCTGCCCGCCGCGGCCCCACCTCCCAGGGGCTGAGAACCATCTCTCCCAACCTGTCCTCTTGGCTTCCCGGAGACCCCACGGGGGCTGCGCGCCCCGCCCCGACTGCCACGGAGACCGGTTGTACACAACTTCCTCCATCCCCTCTACCCTGTCCCAAGTGAGGGCCCGCGGGCCGGCCTAGCACCGGCCTACGAGAGAGCCCACCGGGGCGGGCGGCCCGGGGCCCATGAACAGCGGGGCCCCAGGGCCGCTGGCCGTGAGGAGAGTGAAATTCTTCGGCCGGCCCCGCGGGGAGGTGAGGTCCAGCAGGGCTCTGCCGACTCTAGGCTCCTGGCTTTGGGTCTAGAGTGGTTCCTGATTCTGCCTGGTATTCTCTGGCCCCCAGCTCCAGAATGGACTACAGATTCTAAGCTCTGGTTCTAGACGGCTCAAACTCCTGGTTGACTAGTGTTCTTTTGACCTTGGCTTTAAAGTGAACCCGGGGCTTAGAGTAGATCTTGAACTCTTAGTTCTAGGCTCCAGCTCTAGAATGGGCTCTTGGCTGTGGGGTGCCAGGCTCTGCTTCTAGAGAAGGCTCCAGGCTCTACCTTCAGTGAGGCCTCTGAGCTTCAGGCTCAGGTTTTACAGGAATCCAGAGAGGGCTCCAAGTTCTTGCCTCAGACTGCAAGAGTGGTTCCTGCATTCTGGGCTCTGGTTGTAGAGGGAGGCCTGAAGTCCAAGCTCCCACCCGGGGATCCTGGGCAGTGTTTAGGGCTAGCCTGGAGTCTGGGGTCAGGGTTGAGCAGACAGGTGGTTCTTGCCCCAGGATGGAACTACTTTTGTGCTCTCCTTCCAGGTCAACTCCTCCACCTTCTCTCCGGATGGCCAGAGGCTGCTGACAGCCTCTGAGGATGGCTGTTTACGGCTGGGAGACCCAGAGCGGGCGGCTGCTGTGGAGGCTGACTGGCCATGCAGGCGGGGCTCCTCAGGCTGGATGTGGACACAGAGGCCCGTGGTTCTGTCTGGCATTCTGCAGAGCCTATCACAGTGACCTCTGACATCTGGGCTGGGCATCTGGACAAGACAGCCTGGGCAGGGCTGGAGCAGGAGGGCAAGGACACAGGACCTGTTCCCTGGGGCCTCTGACTCCGACATACCTGGACTCAAAGCCTACTACTTTGTTTTTTGTTGTTTTTAATTTTTTAAATAATCTCTACACCCAACATGGGGCTCGAGCTCATGACCCTGAGATCAAGAGTAGCATGCTCTACTGATGGAGGCAGCTGGGTGCCCCAATCCTACTACTGTTTTAAAATATACATATTTACCATCGTAACCATTTTTTAAATGCAGTTCAATAGTGTTAAGTATGTTCATTATGCAACTTGTCTCCAGGACTCTTCATCTTGCAAAATGTAAACTCTATACCCATTAAACTCCCCATTCCTCCCTTGCCCCAGCCCCTGGCAACCACCATTCTTTCTGTCTCAATGAATTTACTCTAAGTACCTTGTCTAAGTATAATCATACAGTGTTCCTTTTTGTGACTTATTTCACTTAGCATAATGTCCCTTACGGTTTATCTGTTTAGCGACTTTTTTGACTGTGATCGTAAGTCATGTCACCTGAGCGAGCCTCTATTTCCCTTCTCTTTAGAATAAGGGATAGTTGCTACCCTATGGGACGAGATAAGGCAAGCCAAGGGCCTAGCACCCAGTAAGGACTCAGTAGATGTAACTACTATAATTGAGACAAAATTCTGGTAATCACAGGGCAGATTGACTAATGCTATTAATATGGGAAGTCCAGCGCTGGGACTCTGAACCCAGGGTGAGCTCTCAAAGAAGTTTCTGTGAGGCGCCTGCATTCACTTTTGGTGCTGATTTTATAAATGGGCAAATCAGGGTTGGGTGTTCTAGGCCAAGCCACGGAAGCTCGGCTTGCCAGGTGGCTGGACGGTTGGAAGGGAGTGAGGAGAGGGAAGGGAGGTGCTAAGGCTGGAGAAATTAGCAGGGGCCGGTCAGCAAGGGCCAGAAGGGGAGGGCAGCACCCCGTTCCCTGACTACAGCTGCTTCCCCAGGCCCTAGGCAGTTCTGCCGCTTCTCCCCTGATGGCCGCCTTTTTGCCACCACCTCCCATGATTGTACCATCCGGCTGTGGGATGTAGCAGAAGCTAAGTGTCTGTGTGTCCTCAAGGGTAAGTGAGATGGGACGGGAGCCAAGCAGCCAGTGTCCCCTTCCACCTTGCCCTGCCTCCAACCCGGTCTCTGCAGGTTACCAGCAGAGTGTGGAGATGGTCAGCTTCAGCCCTGATGGAAAGCAGCTGGCATCAGGTGGCTGGGACAGGCAGGTGACGTTCTGGGAGGTGCAGGTGTGTGGGAGGGTGGCCAGAGCGGGACCTGGGACCCAGAGGAGATACACCCCACCCCCGACAGTGGCCCCAGAAAGGTCATTCCATCTTCCCCACAGCCCACACCCACAGCTGGCAATCCATCTGCCAATGAGGTCCCCCCGGCCTGGACTGTCCTCTCCCGTCAAGGTCTCTGGCGTCACCCCAGACCCTGTGTCACATTACCCAGGCAGCCCACAAGGAGGGCCTGATCTGACCCATCTGAGGCCTAGAACCTGGTGCCCTCCAAATCCAAAGCTCAGGGCTCTCTCCTGTAGTCCGGGCAGATGCTGCACCACTTGGGAGGGCACCGAGACTCCATCCAGAGCAGTGACTTCGCACCCAGCTCAAACTCACTGGTGAGCCACACCACCTGTGCCCGACCCTACCTCAAGGAACCTGGAGCCCACATTCACTTTCCTACTTGGGGCTGAGCCATGGTTAAAATTCCAGACCTTGACTGGGTGACTCTGCTCTTCTGAGCCTGTCCCCTCATCTATAAGCTGGGAAATTCAGCAGGGTCCAGAATGTCTGCTTTCTTGGAGTCTGGCCAGCTAGGAACCACAACGGTGGGCATGGCCTGGCTGGTTCATGCTCACGGCAGATGTCTGCAGGCCACTGGCTCCTGGGACTCCACTATCTGCATCTGGGACCTGCGGATGGGGACCCCAGCAACCTTCCACCAAGAGCTGGAGGGCCACAGGGGCAACATCAGCTGCCTGTGCTACTCGGCATCTGGCCTCCTGATGAGCTGGGTTGCCCTGGGTTCTAGGCTGGCCCCCTGCTGGTTCCAGACCCATGGGCTTAGAGCTGTCTGCTGTCCAGGCTTCTGGCTCCTGGGTAAGACTATCCACATTTGGAAGCCCTCTACCAGAAGCCTGCTTGTTCAGCTCAAGGGCCATGTTACCTGGGTGAAGAGCATTGCTTTCTCCCGATGGGTCACAGCTGGCCAGTGCCGGCTACTCCCACATGGTAAACCCACCCCACCAGGCCCATCGTCCTGGCAAAATCCTATCCCCACACCTTCCTTTAGCAGAGCCCTCTGCAGTCTAGAAATGTCCACATCCTATCTGCCCTAAATAGGAGGGTGCCATGGGCAGAACCCAGGTGCCAACCACTTCTGTAACTAATGCGTGGCACTAAGCTCTGTGCTGGCCCAAGTGGCATTGACACTTTTTAATTTTTATTTTGTAAAGATTTTGAAAGCATGCACACAAGAGAACATGAGCTAACAGGAGGGTGCAGAGAGAGAAGGAGACTCCCCACTGAGCAGGAAGCCCAACGTGTGGCTCAATCCCAGGATCCCGGGACCATGACCTGAGCCAAGGGCTGACGTTTTAACACACCGAGCCACTCAGGTGCCTCCTTTTTTTTCAAGTGTGCGTGGGAGCAGGGAGGGAGGAAAGGCAGAGAGAAAATCTCAAACTCCCTGCTCAGTCCAACGCAGGGCTCGAACTCATGACCCTGAGCCCAAACCAAGAATCAGAGGCTTAACCAACTGCACCACCCAGGTACCCCTGGCATTGACATTTTTAAGACTCATCATAGCTTCAGGGAAAAGGAAATTGCACTACACTGAGTTTTTGCATCAGATATTCTGAGCATGTTAAACATACCTCACAGACAACAAAACCCAGGCCAAGGGGTTAAGAGGTTGGCTAGGACTCACCCCAAAGTGATTTTAAGGATGCCAGACTTGTGGGGTGAGGTCTCCCCACCCTTCTGCTTGTTTTTATTTCCAGGTTAAAGTCTGGGACTGCAACACAGGAAAATGCATTGAGACCCTGAAGGTAAGGCCTGTGGGCATAGCACCCAAGGGTGTAGTAAAAGGCCTGCCAGGGGAGGCTGGGGACAGGCAGGACATGCACCCCAAAAGTGAAATGCTTTCGGCAGGGAGTCCTGGATGTGGCCCATGCCTGCGCCTTCATCCCAGATGGGAAACTCTTAGTGTCTGGAGCTGCTGACCAGGCAAGATGCCAAAGTCCGCTGCTCGATCAGATCACCCAGAGCCTCTCGGATATATCACCACCACAATGGTTCTCAGATCTCAAGCCCGTCTCTCCCTGCCCAGAGCCCATGCAACCTGGCGGAATGAACTCATGAAAGGACAGTGAGGGCACTTCCACATCACAGCCCCCAAACCAACCCCAACAGAGAACCCACCAGATCCCCGTGGCCAGGACTGTCACGGCCCCACACCAGGGTACAGCAGCCCACCTCTCCAGCTCGGTCAGTCGAAACGCCCGCAAACACAAAGCAACACCAGCCAGTTTGTCTGTGTTTTATTGACGCCAGTGCTCAGGCTTTGACCGCGTACTTCCGCAGCGGGTACAGCCGCTCCTTCCGCTGCTGCTTCTTGGTCTTCAGGTTCTCCTCGTGCTTGTTCAGCCGGCGGCGCATGGCACGTGTCTTCTTGGGTCGCAGATCCAGGGGCTTGTACTTCTTACCCTGGGTGACGGGAGAGCAGGGGGTGTCTGAGCACCAGGGTTTAGGAGCTACTGTGGCAGCAAAGGAAGCCCCAGAAGCTGGAACCGAGCTGCTGGGGGGCATGGGGAGGATGCCGGAAGCCACTGAAGGAGGCCACGGGGGTGCGCAGGTTACTCTGTAGACCTGAGTGTGAGGAGGTGTAGTACACCCAGCCCAGCAGGGGACTAAGGCCCTGTGGGGGGAGCTGTCCTAGTGATGAATCAGACTTGGTCCCTGCTCAAGGAGCCCCCAGCCCAGTGCGAAAGACTGAACAAGCTAACAAGTGGCCCATCACTGGTGGGAGGAAAGAGATTAAGAAGGCTTCACCTAATGACTGGCAAGAGCCTGGAAAGCAAGCAACTTGGTGAACACCACTTCCAAGGGGGGGAAAACAGCATACACAAAAGCCCCGAAGAATGGCAGCTCAGGTGCTTTCTGGAAACTGCCAACAGCTCAGAGGCGGAGGCACAGGACTGGGGTGAGCTAAGTGGGGTAACAGTGTCAGGGCAGAGAGCTGCCGAAACCAGCCATGCAGATGGGAGTAAGCGCTAAGGTGGGGGCTCGGAAGCACGAGTCTTCACCCACCCACATCCCGGTTACCTGCAGCACAGGCCAGGGCCTCGTCCATTTCAGCCCGACTAAGCCCTCAGAGCTCGGTTGTCTGCCAGAGGAGGCACTAGCCACACACGCAGTCACCATTAAAAACCCAGGCCTTCAACCACCACAGCCACCATGTGGCCCGAGGTCACTGTACCGGATGGTGCAGACAGAGCACTTAGAGCACTAGAGAAAGTCTATCGGACAGAACTACCACAGTGCCTCTTCCAGAGGCACTGGAAGAAGACAATTCTTCCTGACGACCACCTCTATGGTCCCCCCAGAGCCTGATCAAAGAGTTTCAAGCCCAATTCTCAGAAAGACGCTCCCACACACAAATGTACACACATCCAGGGATGGCGTCACCCCCCCAACCCAACAGTACATGCTACTGTCCCCTGGGACAGCCAGCCCGGGCCCACCATGAGGGCTTTTTTGACAGGTCAAAGCCTCCAGCTATTCAAACGCTAACTGGGATGTTGATGTAAAGCCGTTTTGTGATATACTCAAAGCCCCTCACCAATTGACTTTAAGAGAGATCTCTTACTGGTTCTGCTTCACTACTTAAGCCCTGATAACGCCAGTATTAAGGGTAAGACCAAAAATGGTCGTAAAAATCCTAGGCCAAGGGGCCAAACACCTGTGGAATTCTCCCAGGAGCACTCAATCCACCCCTCCCTAAGACATGGTTTGGAACACAGACCCAATCACTCCATTCACTGTAGGTGACTCTGGGCAATTTAACCTCTCTACACCCTGAGGTTCCCATCCGAAAAATGAGAGTATCAGATGCTTGAAAGTGACTGACATAGTGCTGGTTAAGACAACTAAAACACTTAATTCTCACAGACGGCCCAAATTCACTCAGCTGGTGAGGATGAATTCAAAACCCAAGGCTCCAGCCAGACTCTCACCACACTGTTGATTTCCAAAATGTATCAATCTGAAAGGTTTTATCTGTCAGCTAAAAAGCTAGCCATAATACATGTTTTTAATGGAAATGAAGAATTTAGGAAAGATGACTCCAAACACACACGTTTCATATAAGGCTATTAAAGATGCAAAACCTCTGAAGAGTTTAAAATGTGAAAGATGTACAGCATTTAAAATTACTTAAAAAAAATCATTGTTTTCATAAAAAGTTTATACTGATTCCTACAATAAAACCTCAGAGATTAATATTTTCAACTATTAAGGTATCAGTTATGATTAAGAAATTAAATATTTACTAAAGGAGCCTTGCAATAAGTTTTCTACATACCACATCATCTTTGCTTTCATTCTTAAAGACAGCTGCAGCCCTGAGGAAATATGGTCTGCGTGCCATGCTAGTGGTAAGATGCTGGTTAAGAAGCAAACCCACCTACAAGTTGGAAAGGCTCTGTAAAGCCCAGTCCCATGCACCCCAGCAGAAGCTCTTTTTCTGGCCAAGGGAGGGCTGGAACTTTGCTCCCTGCAGCCAAGCATCCTAACTCCCCTAGCCCAGGCTCACCTTGTAGAATTTCCTGAGGTTCTCTTTCTGCGTCTGGTTGATGACCGTGAGAACGCGGGCGATGGATTTGCGAACAACTCGGCTGCAAAAGAGAGAGCCATCAGTGAAGGTGGTGGAGCCCTACAATGCTGCCACCCCCTCAAAGGCATCTTACTCAGGACCTGACCCAGATGTCATAAGGCAGGAGTATTCCCCACCAGCTCATCCGTATTCACCCAAGAGGTACCTAACCCAGTCCAGGAGGCAAGTGTTTTGGGGGTAAGGCCCAAAGACCCTAGGAGGTGGGCATCTCACAAGTAGGGACAGGGAAGGGCTTCTGAGAAGCTGAAGAAGTGGAGGGTAGATTAGGAAAGATCTTCCATCCCAGGCCATATAGCCTCAGAGCTGTGAAGACCTAACCGATGCCGACCTGAATGAGCTGTGGGAAATCATCCCACAAGCCGGGCGACCAAATTAAGGAGTCACAGGAGGGGCCGCTTGGGAGGGAGAAACAAGACGTTTGAGAAGTAGAAAGGCGATGGGGGGAAAGGATAAACCTAGGAATAGGCTGGGAATAAGTGATCTGAGTCATGTTGAATAGCAGGCAAGGTGGGGGAAATAGCTGGTAAACACGGTCTTGAGGACTCAGCATGCAACTTGTGTGTTCCCCAACTCATCCAACCCCCTCCCCGCACCAGAGGTTGGTTGTTGGGGGCCCATTTTATTTTATTTTTTAAAGATTTTATTTATTTGACAAAGAGAGACACAGCGAGAGAGGGAACACAAGCAGGGGGAGTGGGAGAGGGAGAAGCAGGCTTCCCGCCGAGCAGGGAGCCCGATGCGGGGCTCGATCCCAGGACCCTGGGATCATGACCTGAGCCGAAGGCGGACGCTTAACGAGAGCCACCCAGGCGCTCCCCCATTTCAGAGAAGAGCAAAACAAAACAAAACCTCCTGGGTGGTGAGTCAGCACACCCATTAGGTACGATGTGGCAAAAGAGGAATGTGTGCCCAGTTCAATGGACTCCAAACCCATGTCCCTTTCACAAGTCCTGATGCTTGATGCATGTAAATCAGTAAGTTAACTACAACTCAAGTGAGGGGTGGGAGAAAGGTACCCACCTACCAAGTGAGGGAAAAAAAATCAAGTGCTGGTGGGAGGTAGTAAAAAAGGGTCCAATTATACTTTTCAAGGCAGGGTGAAAAAGGGTCTTGAGGAACAACCCGTTCTTTCTCCGGTCAGAGAGAAGCTGAGCACTCCAGGCAAAAGGACAAAATGATCCAAGGCGAACAGGAGAAAAATCACACAGGGAGTGTCCCATGCGGCTGGGTGCAAGTACGGGGAGCCCAGAGAAGCTGGGTCAGGACGCGCATGACACTCCAACCCACGGGTCCGTTCCATGATCACTTAACCCAACGCTTCCTTCAGCCAACTTCGAAAACCCACAAATGCTTCCGATGCACTGGTGTCCCCCACACCAGAGAACCGGAATTCAGCCGCCCCTCACTCACATCTTGGAGAGCTTGGAAGCCGCGCCGCCTGTCACTTTGGCGACGCGCAGCTGGGACAGCTCCACCTTCAGGTCTTCCAGCTGTTTAAGCAGCTCCTCTTTCTTCTTGCCGCGAAGGTCTCGAGCCTTAATCTTGGCCTGAGCGCAAGTACAGGTCGGGGTCAAACAGCCGGCAGGGCCGCCTCATCCCGCCCAGCGGCCATCCTCCCCTCCACCCGCGGCGAGGCCAGCCCCAGGAGGGGCGCGCTGGGGGCCTGGCTTCCCTCGCCTAGGCCGTGCCTGGGGCAGGGTAACCGAGCACCTGGCGGGCCCGCCTTCGTCCAGGTCCGCCACGAGGCTGAGCCGCTACCGCCACTCCGCAGACGGGAAGACGGAGGCGCCGACAGCGCGGGATCACCTCTCCGGGCCCAAGCCAACAGGGGAGAGCGCGGGAGACCAGCGGTGGTGGCGCAAGGCCACTCCGCACGGCGCCTCACAGGCCCGGCTGGCAGAAGGAACCCCAGCGCTCACCTCGAGCTCCCCACCCCTGGCCCCGAGCCCCACAGCGCGCGGATGGCACCCGATTCCACCGCCCTCACCATGTCTGCACTATCTGCCGCTGCCGCCGCCGGAAAGAAGCCAAGGAAAAAGGAAGGGGCGGGCCTGACCTCCGCAACTACTGCCGGGTGGCGGCGGGCGCGGCCAATGGCCCCGCCGCGAGGGAGCCCTAGCCCCGCCCCCGACACCTCCACCCCCTCGCCTGGGGAGCGCCGTGGTTCGGCCCGTCTAGCCCCGCCCGGAAGAGCCGCGCACCCGCGATTGCTCCGGTCCGCCTCATCTCCTGAGCCGACCCCTTGGTGAAGCCGAGGCCCGGGTGACCGGCAGCTTACCGGAGATGGCACAGTGAGGACTCGAATTCGTCCATCCTGTCATTTACTCGTTCATTCATGCATTCGGTAGACCTTGCAGGATGCCCAGTCCGCTGCTCTGAGCTGCGCGCCAGTGTCCTGGGGGTGGAAGGGATGAGGGCTGAGGATTTTCAGAGATGAATTAACACGGCTTCTACCTTGGAAGACTTTAAAATCCGAACTGGCGGGGAGAGGCAGGATCCGACAGCTATACTCCCAACTCCATAAACCGTTCTAGTGGAGGCAGCATGTGGCGCGAGAAAGCATTCAGGGCTTTTTAGTGAATCCGTTCCGATTTCAAATTCCTGCTCCGTTGCCTCGTGCTCGCTGAGACTCTTGGCAGATCCCCTCCCCTCTCTGAGTCTCAGTTTTCTCACCTGTGAAATAGGTATTTTTGAGGATTAGGACCATGGAAAACTCTTAGCACAAGATCTAATGTATAACAGTCCCTCAAAATATCATTGGTATTAATGTACCCAGTGAAATGAACACTTGAGTTGGGTCCTGAAAGTTAAAGAATTCACAAAGCAGGGAAGCTGCTCAGGCTTTCTGACTGGGCAGTTTCATTGTTGCCTCAACCAGCAAGCACGAATCACTCTAGTGTCACTCCATTGCCGTTAACAAAGATGCCCCAACACCTCTTAGAGCACTAGTTAAAGCCAGGTTGCCCCCTTGTTGCTGTCAGGCTCGAGGAAGCCTTCTTCCATTCCTTTATGGGGTTCTATGAATGGGCTTTAGCTTTGGACTAAATTGGTATACTACGTCCCTTTTGTCCCAAGCTTTCTGTTTTTGTTTTGTTGTCGTTTATTTATTTTTAGTAATCTCTACATCCATCATAGGACTCGAACTCACGACCCTGAGATCAAGAGTAGTGCTCTTCAAGGGACGCCTGGGTGGCTCAGTTGGTTAAGCATCTGCCTTTGGCTCAGGTTATGATCTCAGGGTCTTGGGATCGAGTCCAACATCGGGCTCCCTGCTCGGCGAGGAGCCTGCTTCTCCCTCTGCCTGCCACTCCCCCTGCTTGTGCTTCCTCTCTCTCTCCCTACTAAATAAATAAAATCTTAAAAAAAACAAAAAACTGTAGTGCTCTTTTGACTGAGCCAGCCAAGTGCCCCATGTCCCAAGTGCAATCCTCTCTTTAGCCCCAAATATACTGAGTTAAATGTTAAATGTTAAACGTTTATGTGTGTCTCTACAGCCAGCCTGGAAGTCAACCATGGCTGACACCTGATTTGGTTCACCTAGTCTCCAGGCCCAACACATGGATGCTTGTTGGATGAATGAATGAATGGGCCTTGCCACAGACCACAGTGAGGCAGACTTCCAAGAAGTGGATGGGTATGGAGAACAGAGCAGACAGAGGACAATCTTGGCATGGATTAGTCTTAAAAGTAAGTTGAATGGTGCACAGGGACTTTGCTGTCATATTTTCCAAATGCTTATAGTTCTTTTAGTGCTAACGATTGTGCACATCTTTCTGAACTTGGAAGTTATCTGTTGCTCCTGTTTCTCTTACAACGCCACATCCAACACACCAGTAAATTCTGCAGCCTCTACTTTCAAAATAACCCAACATCTTCCCACCACTCTTAATGGCAACTGCCTGGCCTAAGCTACCACTGTCTGTCACCTAAACTGTTGGTGTCACCTTTTATTTTTTAATTTTTTTAAGATTTTATTTATTTATTTGTCAGAGAGAGAGAGAGCACAAGCAGGGAGAGAGGCAGGCAGAGGGAGAAGCAGGCTCCCCACTGAGCAAGAAGCCTGATGTGGGACTCGATCCCAGGACCCTGGGATCATGACCCGAGCCAAAGGCAGCTGCTTAACCGACTGAGCCACCCAGGTGTCCCTGGTGTCACCTTTTACATCACCTCTGCTACTGGCTCTTATTCCCATGTATTCTCAAGACAGCTGTTAAAGGGACCCTCTTCAAACTTAAGTCAGCTCACGTCACTGCCCAGAATTTCCAGTGTTGTCCCATGAGGTAGACCACATCCTTTCCTCAGCCTACAAAACTTTACAGCAGCCCCTCTACCCCTCTACTTCCATCTCATCTCTTCTCACCCTTGCAGTCCAGCATGACCTTTCTGTTTCTGGAATATACCAAGTCAGCCCTGTCTCTGGGCCTTTGCTTGGCTCCCTCCTTCACTTCTTTCAGGTCCCTGATCAGTGTCACCTCCTCAGGGACATCTCTCTTGACCACTTTATCTAAGGTACTGCCAGGCACTGTGTGGTTTTATACCCTCAGCATGCAGTCATCCCTGACATAGACTTTTAAAATTCTGCCTCCATGACTGGGAGATCCACAGTCATAAGCACGGCCATTATTTCATTCACCAGAACAGGCTATTTCTTTACTTGTAAAATGGGCATTTCTGGTTTAAAGTTCCTTCTGACCAGTAAGTTCTGGGGATATGAATTTCTGTTGTCTTGTGGCCTGCCTGGGTCACAAAGATTTCTTTCAAGAAATGGAGCTGAAAGGCAGGTGGGCTTTGCCTGTTTCCAGGACCCCTGAGACTTTTATTCGGCACCTATTTCCCAGCGTAAGAGTCTGTATCTTTAGTACCCAAGATTAGATAGCATCATAATCTGGCAATAATTTTTTTATCTGTAGACACAATTCAATGAGAAGTATTTGAGACAATAACAAAAGAGCCATATTTCATTAACTATTGGCCTTTATTAAAGGCCAAAGTACAACTGGGGGCACCTGGCTGGCTCTGTCAGTAGACCATGTGACTCTTGATCTTGGGGTTGTAAGTTCCAGCCCCAGGTTGGGGGTAGAGATTACTTAAAAACAAAATATTAAAAAAAAAAAAGTACAATTATATGAAAACAAAGACCCAATTAAACCTAAGGTTAAGGCCTATTAATCCCTCAAGCAACTGCCCAGGCACTCAATTCTGGCACCAGAGTTGTCCTTGACTCTGCCCTTAGTCCCCCCACTCTCATCTTTCCCCATCTCATACTCTGGGGATTCGGCTTCCCACCAGGATATGCCTCTCCAGCCAGGACTGACTTCTCGGCCCCTAGGACCTCGCCCTTCCCGTCAGAATGGTGACCACAGGGTCATCTTCCTCTCCCCGTCCCCTACCTGCCAGGCCCAGGTGACCACTACACTCGCAGGGCCAAGTCCAAATGTTTTGTCTTGTCAGCACTTTGGATACACTTTAAACGTCTTTAAAGTCTCCCAGTCCGTTAACAATAGAGTCACTGTGCACAAGGCAGGGGCACCTTCCTCCAAGCTCTGTGGTGGCGTTCAAGGTTCTAAGTTACGAGAATTAGGGTCTCCCGCTCCCGTCACTCCTGGAGGTAGAAGAACTACTCAGACCTCAGCTCGAAGGTCTTTCTCTCAAAGAAGTCTGCCCAGCACTCGACAGGCAGCGCCGGCAACCTTCTCCTGGGGGCCCGGGCACCCTCAGTCTGGGCAGTGATGAGCCCCCGCGTCCGCGGCTGTGTCCGCGCAGGCCCCTTCCAGGGCCAGGGGCTCCTCGGATTCAGGAGGGAAGCTGAGCGCAGTTATGATGTCCACGATGCTGGGCCTGCGCGGGGACGGAGTGTCCGCTCCTCGGACAGCAAGAGTGAGGTTCCCCGAGGATGAGAGTCCGGCTGGGGGCTGTCGGGGTCACTACCAGGCCGATTCCCCAGCGCTTCCAGCCCCTCCCCCCAGGCCCCGCCCCTCCCGCCCACCGGCACTTCCGGTTCCGGCGTGGCCCGGAAGTGGGCGGGCGGCGGCGTCTGCGCGCGGAGGAGGTGGAGGAGGCGCCGGGCGGCCGCTTCCCGCCCCCGAGCCTGAGCCGGTGCCGAGCGGGGTAGAGCCGAGGTCGGACTCGGAGCGGAGCCGGCTGAGCGGGCGCCGAGTCCCCGCCATGGCCCGGAACACGCTGTCCTCGCGCTTCCGTCGGGTGGACATCGATGAGTTTGACGAGAACAAATTCGTGGACGAGCAGGAGGAGGCGGCGGCGGCGGCGGGCGAGCCAGGCCCGGACCCTAGCGAGGTGGATGGCCTTCTGCGGCAATATCCTTACCCAGCGCGGCGGCCCGGGCGCCCCTCAGGCCGGCCTCCCTACTCCTCTCACCTCCGGGCCCCTGAGGTCCGTCTCCCAAGTCCCTTCCGATCTGGCCGCCCTCGGGCCAGGTTCCCTTACTGCGGGTATCCCCCTTCCCTCTGATCCGGTCTCTCCACTCCCCTTGTCCCGGGCTCCCCTTGTCCTGGGCTCCGGTCCTCGGATCCTCCCTCAGCAGCGCGGCCCCTAGCCCCTGGTGGACCCGCCGGCTCGCCGGCCCCAGAAGCATGCCGGACGCGCTTGCAGCCCCGCAGGCCCCTCACTCCTCCGCGAGGCCTGTCCACTTTTCTCCCCCTCTGTCTCCTCATCCCCTCAGACTGACCGTTCCTTGGGTTCCCCATCACTCCATCCCTCCCTTGCAGGAAATGGGGCTGTTCTCGAGCTAGATGGGCGGGAGGGGCCGAGGTGAGCCCGCTGAGTAATTGAGCGGCCTAGACGGCTCCCGGGTGCAGTCCTCTTGGGCTGGCTTGCAGCACCACACGAAGGTCGGTGGGTGGATGGCTGAGGGATAGAAAGGACCCAAGGGGGGGAGAAGGCTGGAGCCTCAGTCCAGCCCTGAGGTCAGAGATTGTGCGCCTCCCACCCCAGAATCAGTCTGACCCTCCAGCTTAACGCTACTCTTTTCACCTGTTCTCAGCTTCCTGTGAACACCCTGGGCTGTGGACCTTGATGGTCTCAGCCACGTTCAACAAGCGAGTTTTGGCTCCCTCCCCGAAATAGCCTTCTTGTGCAGGAAGCAGGGAAAGACTAGTAGTTGAGAGCTAAGAAAAACCAGACAGCATCAAGTGAAATGTAAAAGTAGAGCCTCATGACTGGAAGTGACTATTCTTGTGGCCACATAAAGCAAGCATTTAGAAAACAAGATTAAAAATAGAGGTGGTTGTCGCAGCCTGCTTGGTCCCTTAGCAGTCTGAGCACAGGAAACTGACTTATTCTCACAGGAAGGATTTTTCTTTATTCAAATGGTGTTACAGGAAGTGCCTGCCCCTCCCCCGCACTTGCCAGGGCAGGGTTGGAGGCTCATGCTGTATATAAATCAGGTTCTGGGTGTTTAATCAGTTGACTCAGCTTGGGAAGTCAGGCCCATGGACTACCTTAGGGAGGAGTCCCGCGGTGTTCCTCCAGTGTGCCTTTGAACCAAAAACCAGACTTTGAACAGGAATGTGCTTTCAAAGATGGGGATTCAAACTTGTATTTCCTGCCCCATCAGGATCACCCTGCTTACCCCATTGATGAAATGGGGTCATGAGAAGGACCCTCATGAGGGAAGATTGATTCTGTAGTCTGTTGCAGGACCTGGCTTATGGGCAGGCAGTACCAAAAAGGCTCCGGGGTCGGGCCTGTGGCCCAGGACCATCCACAGATGGGGAGAACAAAGTCTGGTTATCTGCTATCTTGGTCCTAGTGCTACAGGGACTTTTTGAAGGTCATCTCTTGGTACGCCCCCTGACTAATGATAGGTTCCTTGAGGCTGCTCAGAGGCCAAGGTTTAGCACATCCAGTTAGTGGCAATTTCTCCACTAGTGACAGTGTCAGCAACCTTGTTACCATAGATTGTCTACCTCTTGGGACTGGAGAAAGGGAGGTTAGCAAAGAGAACTGAAATCCTGGCTAATGTGGAACCCAGGGAGGGAGGAGGAAGGAACTGGTATTTACTAGTCCCTATCATGTGCCAGGTATTGGACTTATATTAGATCACTGAACTTAAACTATAGAACAGGCTTCTGGGAGTCTTAGAACAGAGGCCAGAGGATTAGGGATAGAGATTGATTGACTGGAGTGGGGGAATGTAGGGAGGCGGAGACCTGCCCTACTGCCTTACAGGGAATTTAGTCTTGGTAGGAAATAACTCAGATGAGCTAGAACATGGGCTGTGTATCCATGCAGACCTAACTCTATCATGCTACAGTTGTGTGACCTCATACCCTCTCTGAACCTCAGCAGCATCTTCTGTGAACAGGAGGGGAACCCCGCTGGCCTTACAGGTTCCGTGGGAGTATCACAACAATATTGTGAGGCTTCATGGTGCTGGGCACGCAGCAAGTGTCCTGGACACGTAGTGTGGGTCTTTGGGTAGAGCGACAGTAGGGGATTATAGAAAGAGCTTGGCTTTGGAGTTGGGCATACTTGGGTTTGAAGGCCAGCTGGACAGCTTAGCTTTTTAACCTTGGGCAGGTCATTTTCCTTCTTTGAGCCTCAAATTCATTGCCTTTCAAATGAGAATAATGATTCTTGTCACAGAGCGTTGTTAGCAGTATTGAGATGACATGTGAAAGCACCTGGCACAGAAGCTGAGAGCTTGTAGGGAGTTTAAAATATTCGTTTCTTTTCTTCCTCACTGAAGAACCTTCTGGTCCTCAGGAACAGGAATTGGTCCAAAGCAGTGGTTTTGAACAATTTTGCACTCTCTCCTCCCCCTGAAGAAATTTGGCATTGTTTGGAGACATTTTGATTGTCACTCTTGGGGAACGCTGCTGGGATCTAGTGGGTAGAGGCCGGGCACGCTGCTAAATATTGTGCAGTGCACAGGACAGACCTCACATCAGTCGTGGGGTCTAAAATGTTAATAGTGCTGTGGTTGAGAAACCCTGATCTGGAGACGAGGGGCAGCGGTCCCCAGGCTCCACAGCCTGTTGTAAGCTGAGCACAGAGGCCAGCTTGATAAATGCTGTGCACTCCCTGCTCCCCAGATGTCCCCAAGCTGCTAAAGGCCTTGTATCTGTCAACACCTATAGCGAATGCTTGGTAGGTTGGCACTACGGAGGTAACTAAAGCAGTGACTCTCTTTGCCCCCGTGGACTAGTTTCCCTGCCCTTCCCCGTCCATCCCTTGAATGATTCTGTTTGTCAGCCGTGCTGGTTATTGAAGAGAGCCGGCCTGCATTTCCTTCTAAGCTGCTGAGACTCTGCGTATTGCTCTGGGATGCCAGATCGGAAAACAGTTCCAAGGGAGACATCAGTGGCTGGTATCAGACTGGCCCTTGCCTGGCTGAGGAAAAGGAATTCCAAAGCCAGCAGATACAGGGGGTGGGCTGCCTCTCCATTGTGGAAGGTAGGTCCGGGCTCAGCAGGAGTGGCCCCTGGGTGGTGCGGGCCCAGCACCGTCAGGATGGAGCCCACATTAGGGAAGACGGGACTGGGCTTTGCTCTGGGCTCTGTTCACACATAGGTATCAGTGCACAAACAGGAGTAGAGACCTGATTGGGCAGCAGCCATTCCTTGTTCTATTTTTGAAGCTTTTTGGCTGAAGCCAGTGTTTCAGATGAGGAAATGAAAGTTGGCTGATGTAATTCAGTTTAAAATAGGTGTCACCTTTGGGGACCTAACCCAGATTGTCATTTTCTTTTGAGTGCTGTGTATTCCTACCTCAGCAAAGAATGTGTCAGGACTGCAACTAAGGTTGAGGGGAGTGGGGAGGATCGGCTCGTATTTTGGGGAAGAGCTTTTAGATTAATAAATCTCCCTTCTAGTAGCGGTTGGGAACATCAAAGACCTGGGTGGGTCTTGCAAGATAGCAGTTTAAGCACATCTTAATTTCTTTAGCAGTTGAATCGATAAAACATTGGATTAAGAGTTAGGAAACCTCCATTTGTGCCTTCGTCCTTCCCTTTTGAGAATGAGAAGGTGACAGGGCTAGCCTCGCATCACTGTTGTCGTGAGGACCCAGCAGGGCAGACACCGTGCCCAGTACCAAGCAGGTGCAAGTGAGCTCAGTCAGTTCTATTGCAGGTCACCCCGAGAGGGGCACTTGCTTTGCTCCTGCCTTCCAGGGTGGGAGGGAAGGAGTGTCCAAACATGTTTCGGGGGTGGCAGAAGGAGGGGCACTCTTGGTGTGGCTCAGGAGAGCTCCAGGCTGCTCTCTGAATGGGCCGGGGCCACACCTGGAATCAGCAGTGGGGTGCGGTGGCGGGGGAGGGGGCATGTGGATGTCATTTGACTCCTCTCTTGAGCTGTTTTTGAAAGGAGTTCATTAATAAAAGCATGGACATGCTTGAGCCTAACCATCCTTAACTGGTGGTGATGCACAGGGGACATGCTTCGGGCATTCCACGCAGCCTTGCGGAACTCTCCCATCAACACCAAGAATCAGGCTGTGAAGGTAAAGAGGGTGGTGCTGCGGCTTTGCTGGGTGGTGCTGGGCTCCGGGCTGAGCTGGGGCAAGCAAGCGCTCCCCGGGGCTCCAGACAGCCTCAGCGAGGCTCTGCTGAGGGAGTGAGTTGACGCTGGGCAGTGCTTCCATGGCAGCCTCCTGGCACTCCTACCATCAGAGCTGTCAGTGTTTATAGTAAAAGCTCCCCAAAGAAACATCCACGCTTCCCCAGGGCCCAGGGCCTCGTGGGGTGAGAAGTCGGCCCAGCCCTTGCTGCTTAGCAAAACTATAAATTAGCTTGCCACATGGGACTTAGAGCAGTGTTTCTGCTTTAAAGGTTATTGAATAGGCTTTATTTGCATAAGGATTTTCAGTGCTTTTAAGATTTCCTGTCTTTTAAAAATAAGGTGAGGGATGCCTGGGTGGCTCAGTCGTTAAGCGTCTTGCCTTCGGCTCAGGTCATGATCTCGGGGTCCTGGGATTGAGCCCCGCATCGGGCTCCCTGCTCAGCCAGGAGCCTGCTTCTCCCTCTCCCGCTCCCCCTGCTTGTGTTCCCTCTCTGGCTGTCTCTCCCTCTGTGTCAAATAAATAAATAAAGTCTTAAAAAAAATAATAAAAACAAGGTGAGAAGATACAGTCGTGCTTTATTGCATCACCGCTGTTTAGAAGCTGTCTGAAATTTGCTCCAGGGAAAGGGGTCTCTCCGAAGCTGGGGTTTTTGCCGGCTTGTGACAGCATGTTGATGTGAGCAATGGCTGCACCTCTCAGGTGGAGGGAAAGGGCCCCTCTGTTACTGGCGTGAATGCAGAGGGAAGCTGCAGCTTTTTTTAAATGTGTTAAGAAAATAGATCTCCACAGTTGTGATCTTGGGGAGTCTGAGCCTTGCAGGTGTCCTCAAAAGCAGTGATGCTTCTCTCCGGTAAACCACTTACTCTCCCCCAAAGAAGTGAATAACTTTTTTTTTTTCGTTTTAAGTATTTTATTTGACAGAGGGTACAAGCAGGGGGAGTGGCAGGCAGAGGCAGAGGGAGAAGCAGGCTCCCCGCGGAGCAGGGAGAGCCCGATCCAGGGCTCAATCCCAGGACGCCGGGATCATGACCTGAGCCGAAGGCAGAAGCTTAACCCGACTGAACCTCCCAGGCGCCCAGCAGGGAATAACTTATTGGCCACTTACTTTGTAACTGTCCGAGACAAATGAGAAACTGGGCAGTGTTTCTAAGAGTTCTGACCACTCAGTTGGGCATTTCTGTGCCTGTCTTGGAGGACATAGATGTGCCTGGGGTTCGGCTCTGGGCGTCACTCCCTTTCTCTCCTCTACAGGAACGAGCCCAGGGCGTGGTGCTGAAAGTGCTCACAAACTTTAAGAGCAGTGAAATTGAGCAGGCTGTGCAGTCGCTGGACAGAAATGGCATTGACTTGCTAATGAAGTACATTTATAAAGGGTTTGAGAAGCCCACAGAAAACAGCAGTGCAGTGTTACTCCAGTGGCATGAAAAGGTACGTGAACACACTGCCCACGCAGGCGACCCACTGACTGGCCCCCACCCCAGGGTTCACAGCAGCGGGCCAGAGTTTCCGAGACAAACACGGGACAGTCTGATAGGCATTCGAGAGTAAGGGGCTACACCTAAAACCACCTAGGACATCTGGTCACTTCTCCTATGGAAGCACCTGCTAGGGGTTCACTGGTTTTGGTAGTTGCAATTGCTTTAGCTGCTTGTTTATGCCAGGCGTGTCATGGGATCAGGTGACCTGGCATGGTGAGAGAGACAGGGAGTCCCAGGTGGGAGAGAGGCAGGCTTGCTTGTGGCTGGAGCTTCATAATACTTGATTTGCATCAGTGGAGGTAGCTGCTTTGCATTGGTGAAGGTGTGGTGGGTGAGGGGGCTGGTCTCAGGAATGCAGGCTGAGCCCTCCAGCTAACTCTCAGGGCTTCCTCTTCTGGCCTCAGCCTCACTAGGCCGGTGGGGGCTGGGGGGCAGTGGCAGAAACCTGGATGTTCACTGAAGAGGGCCTGCAGCCACCTGAAGCACAAAGAGCTGTGCCTGTCCCCTGCTCAGGTCGTTACAAGAGCAAGGTATTTCATCTAGCCACTGTCCCCCCTGCCCCATAGAGCTACGGGAAGCTTGCTTATCATTATCGGAGACCAGGCTGCTACCAACACCATGCCCTTCCCAAAAGGCTCTGTTGAGTTGGGAGGGGTCATCCACTTGGGCAGCCTCGGTGCTGGGCTGTGGTGGCCTTTGGTCCTGTTGCTGGCCATGCTGTGCCTGTTCTCGGCCAGAAGGTGGGCGGGGCGGGGGGGGGTTGGTGGCTGTGCTGCTCAGGGACCAAGCAAGCCCTCTGCCTGGTGTGGCGGCCAGGCCCTTTCTTTGATCTCTTTAAGGCGACTTGGTGCTGAGCCCCATTGGCATTTCTAAGGAGGACTCGGGGAGGCAGCTGTGATGGGTCCCATGTCCCCCGGCAAGCCGGGCTCCCCCTGGCTCCCCCTGGGCCAGCCGGGTCTCATTTGACTCTTTTCCTTTTCCTGCCCCCACAGGCATTAGCAGTAGGAGGACTAGGCTCCATTATAAGAGTTCTTACAGCGAGAAAGACTGTTTAAAAAAAAGGACTCATGTTACCTTGAGAAGAATTTTGGATGCACAGGCTGATGAAGAGGGATTGACAATGGACCATCTTCCTGGGAACTCCCAACTAAACTATTCCAGGACATGCATCTGCTGAAGTGTATTTTATTTTCAAGGTGGAGGGAGAACTTGTCTGTTTCCTAAATCCTTTGCAGGATCTGATAGTCTATGCCTTTGTCCACGAGTAACACAGAACTGACCTCGTAACTGTCTGCCGGAGTGGCTGGTCAGCGTTGGCCGGGTGTAGCTGTGCGCTCTATTTCACGTGGGGGAGGGACGATCTGGGCAGGTGCAGATCCAAGGGCTGTGGTCAAAGGGAGAGCTTGTTTTTTTGAAGTAGTAAAGCTTCGAGGGTTTGTACAGACATCCCGTCTTCCGAGAGAAGACGGGCTCTCTTGGATTCATTGTAAAGTGCCTGCTGCATCAATAAAGCTCTTGGCTTATTAGTATGTACTTTGCGGTGTGTTTCATGTATGTAAAGCGAGTAAGGAATGGGACGGTAAGAAATGGGAAACTGATGGGGTGGGCGTGTCCCTGCGGAGCCGGTCCCAGGGAGTGAGCGTGGTGTCTGGCCCTCTCCCACCGCAGTACCTCTGGCCTGGGCTCGGTGCTGCTGGCTGCTGTGGAGTTGGCTGAATAACTATTTATTGGTTTTACTCCTTTGATTTGTATGTAATTTTGGAGCTTACTTAATAAAGTGCAAACAGTAATTGATCTAGGCTTTAAAAGTCTTTAGTTTGGGGCGCCTGGATGGCTCAGTTGGTTAAGCGACTGCCTTCGGCTCAGGTCATGATCCCGGAGTCCCGGGATCGAGTCCCGCATCAGCCTCCCTGCTCAGCAGGGAGTCTGCTTCTCCCTCTCACCCTCCCCCCCTCTCATGCTCTCTCATTCTCTCTCTCAAATAAATAAAATCTTTAAAAAAAGTCTTTAGTTTGTGTGACTACATTTGGAATCTTTTGGGAGCAGGTCCCAGAAGGGCCCGGTCACCATCTCCTGACACTGGCTGGGGCTGTGCGGCAGGAACGCCCTGAGATGCTGACAAGGTTTTTTTAAAGGATTAAAAGCCAGGAGCAGGTACCATCAGCCTATAGATACAAAAGGAACGTTTTGTTCCTTATAACCACTAACAGCCAGCTTCTTTGAAGAGCGAGATGTTTTTCCAACCTTTTAAGCACATGGAACTGCAGTCTGCATTGTTAAAGGACCCCATTGATGATGTGGTTCTTGGACAGAAGACATTGACCAAAGTGACACAATCCTTCCAATTCCTCTGCAGGACCCCACCATTCCTGGGAGGTAGGACTAGACTGCTGGCTTCATTAAATTACACGTATTTACCTAAACCGGGGGGGGGTGCTTTCTGAAAGACAAATGTTCTATAGCTATCTCCCCTTGCCCCCTTTTTGTACTTACTAGGTTACTGGTTTATCATAAAAGGATATACTCAGGCACAGCCAGATGAAAGATGCACCGGGGAATGTAAGGGGAAAGGACACGGAGCCTCCATGCTCTCGGAGCATGCCACCCTCCCCACATCTCCGCTCTCCAGCCCAGGAGCCGCCCTCCCCACATCTCTGCTCACCAAACTGGAAGGTCTGTTCTGTAGTCCATGAAGTTTGCCTCGGAATATTAAATACAAGACACAAAGTACCAAATTTCATTAGTCAAATACTGAGACACCAGACTATCAAGTAAAACCCACTGTAGTTGCATCTGGATTAAAGAGCTTTAATCAAAAAGTGACACCACAAATGAATTTTCTACAGCAGTCTTAGATAATACAATTCCTATTTACAACATGGAGAGAGATCCAAATCCAATGCTCATATAAAGGGCTATACATACTGTCTCTATCACAGAACATTTTATACAAGTAAAAGTGCATTAACTCACTTAGAATATTTACTCCACTCTTCCTCTTAAAGCTGAAGGAAATTCGACATGCAGGAGGAAAGCCTACTCAGAATGAACCCTCAGCAGGTCCGGGCTGAGTGAAAGCTGCTGGGGGCTGTGGGCAGGGCAGGGTGAGAGCAGCTCAAGCGCTGGAGAGGCCTCAGTGGAGCCGGACTGGTTGGCAAGCCCTGAGCCACCCGATGTGGGGACTCTCCTGGAACAGCTGGAGAAGCTCCCTCTTACCGCAACTACAGGACAGAAGGAATTGCTGTCTTGTGTCCCCACCAGATAAAGGGAAAATAAAATTCTAAACAAAGGAAAGCCATCTGCAGGGAGGAGCCACGGGAGGAGGTAGGCAACTGGGGAATGGGTCGCTCGGGTGGCAGAGAGCCTAGCGGGGGTGATGGTGACACGGCCCTTGCTTGGTACTCCCAGGTCTGTGGAAATGTAGTACGTTAACTCTGCAAATCCGTGTTTTCCCGTAAGATATGTTTTACATATTTTACTCCCATGCATTTTTGAGAAACATGGGGGTGGGGGTGGGGTTGGGGGGGAGAGGTGGTGGCTCCACGTACATGGCAGACGGCTTCCGACGTTTTGGTCAGGGATGGGGAAGGGACCACTGCTGCTCGCCCTTAATGGAGCAGACTGTCCTTAACCGGAGCAAACGTGTGATTAGCATTTGCTCAGTCTCACAACACAGAATTAAGAGCAAAGCAAATGAAATACCACCACTGCTTCAGAAGGAAGCAGAGACCATAGAATGCTAGTGAAATTAAAAAAGGGAAAGGCATCCCAATCTTAGAAATAATCTCTTGATGCTCTGATTTGCCTTTAAGAACACCAAGTTAAATGGATTTTATAATACAGAGACATGTTTATAGTAGCGAAGAACTTTAGCTATAAAAAATAGTTTAAAATGGTTTACCAGCAACCTATCCAAGACAAGTACATTCATTAAAAAGGCAATTGAGTGTATTTGGTACTAAGGATCTTTTTTCATATATCTGCTAGTTTTCTTCAGTAAAGTGAGATACTGTCTGAAAGTTGCATATTCATGAATCCACACTGGCCCCAGAGTACCTTAAAGATGTGCACATCTAAAACTCTGGGTGGTTTGAGAAACAAGGTGAAAGAATGTTTTCTTGAGAGGAAGGGGTAAAAAGCCTCTTCTATCTCATCTGAACCCAAACAAGCTAACTGGGAATGGGAATTTTGAATGCCCACCCCAGTGAGCTGGCTGTGTGGCAGGGGCACGAGGCTCTGGCCTGCTGGGCACCACGTCGAAGGGCTGTCTTTCCGTCTAGCATGGTCACTACGGGGTGGACCTGGTGCCTCCACCCTGCCGGAGGCTGAGGGCTTCAGCTTCAAGCACTAGTGTGGACACTTAGAGGATTCAGGTGCGGACGGGTGCGGCCAGAGCTGGGATTTTAGCAGCACGGTGGAAATGTGGGCAGTGCCAGGACCCTTCCGTTTGGTGAGCACGATGACGCAGGGACAGCCACCTCCTGAGGTTCAGATCAGTCTGTCGGGAAGGGGGCCTTAAGTCTTGTAAACAATGTTTTGACGCTTGTACAAAATACTGCAGTTACAGTGATTAAAAACCCACCCAGACTGGTGTGTCAGTGTTCTTTTCACAGAAAAAGTGTCATTGCGTGGAGCTCCGCCTGTTGGCACTTCCATCTAGGACCACGGTATCCGAGGGTTGGAGATGGATGGCCGGATGCTGCCCTTGGGGGCTGGCTTGGACCCAAACCATGACATCTGGGTTGGAAACAGAAAGGGCTCCTGAGACGAGCATCAGGATGAGGTGCCGAGGAAGCTGAAGGCACCACCACCCCCCCTGCATCCCCAAGCTGCCCCTGCGGCCCTCCACGCCCCATGGTGCCTGCCGTGAGCTTGCCGTGAAGATGCTGGTTGTTGGAGACCAGGCTGCGGGGCCCGGAGCCCGTTCTAAGTGCGTGAGGGGAGCAGGAGAAAATGGAGTTGACCAGAACCAGGGGCTGGGACTGTAAGTAATTCTGCCTTAAGATTTTCTTTTTGTTCTATCCCTTCAGCAGGTACTTTCTGAATATTTTATAATTTTTTTTTAATATTTTATTTTTTTGCAAGAGAGAGAATGAGAGACAGAGAGCATGAGAGGGAGGAGGGTCAGAGGGAGAAGCAGACTCCCCGCTGAGCAGGGAGCCCGATGTGGGACTCGATCCCGGGACTCCAGGATCATGACCTGAGCCGAAGGCAGTCGCTTAACCATCTGAGCCACCCAGGCGCCCCTGGCATCCAGACTTTTTAAAAAATAAAATATTCAGGGGCTCCTGGGTGGCTCAGTTGGTTGGGCAACTGCCTTCGGCTCAGGTCATGGTCCTGGAGTCCCGGGATCGAGTCCCACATCGGGTTCCCTGCTCAGCGGGGAGTCTGCTTCTCCCTCTGACCCTCCTCCCTCTCATGCTATCATTCTCTCTCTCTCAATAAATAAATAAAAATCTTAAAAAAAAAAAAAGTCCGGACGCCGGGCCGGCCCCAGGGCTGCTGACGTGAGAGACATTGGTCAAAGAGCCCGGGAAAGCACGGAGGCTGTGGGTGGCGCACGCATGGCTGTGTGTGCGGGGAAGCAAGCGCGTCCTGGGGACAGTCAGCCAAGCACGGGGCTGGTAACTCCAGTTTCCAAGAGCCTCGGCAGCCGGCGACCTACCTTGTACTCCAGGGTTTCTTTGAGCATGTTCTCTTCCTCTTCTGAGAAGTTCAGCAACACTGACACAGCTTTTATAAGGTGAAAAGCCTGAAACAAAGGAAGTTGTGCTGCCACCGGCCTTGGTGGGGGCGGAGCGGAGGTGGGGGGGGGGGGGGGGTCTAAGCGGCAGCACTTCCCGGGCTCTGCTCCCGACGGGGGTGAGCAAGGATCACGGGGAGGGCGAAGTTGGGCTTTCTCAAGTCTGACAACGATGACCGGTTCTTTTTCTCCCCTCCATCTTTTCCTTCGGGTACCGGCAAGACCCCCGGGGGACATCCACGCAACAGCTGCCCTGCTCTTCAGCAGATGCAGGAACGTGGGGCAGATTCAGCTCCCTGGACTCAAGCCTCCGCCCCCTTCTCGGCCCCCCTGCTTGCTGCAGTCCGCAGGTCAGGGCCAGCTGGGGAAAGGAGGACGTACCCACACTGGTGGGCAAATCAGAACGTGGCAGAGGAAGAAAGAAATGGCCTTGGGGAAAGCCATGCGAGGCTTGGACAAATGAGCCAGGCACTCGGAACCCAAAAGGCAACTCAGAAGCCCTTTACCTCAGATTCTCGGCAGGACATGAATTTCAAAACCACGTGTTTCAGGTATTCAAAGTTGATCTCTCGGGCATCAGTCAGGTCAGCGTTATTCGTGACAGAAGGGGCCATGTTTGGCATCTCAGGGCCAGGCTTGTCCCGGACTTCAAACAGCTCATTGTCGGGTCTGATTTTCTGAAAACCCATGGAAAGATGCCACACTGAACCCCCGAGACAGGTGTGAAAACCACCCGCCCATCCTTTAGCAGGCCCAGCGTGCTAGCCGAGAGGGCCCCCCGTGGAAAGGGAGAGCCTTCCAGTGTCTGAAGAAGGCTTGGCTCCCCCAGGTGGGGTGGCCGCTGGCGAAGAAGGAGGTCATGTGGGGAAGGTCAGACATTTCCTTTACCCGGGTCAGGACACCTCTGGGGCAGGGAGCACCCCAAAAAGGGCAGAGGCGCTGCTCTCCTAGGTCTGGGCATGGCACACGGCGCACAGGTCATGTCACTGACTTCTCAGAGCTCAGGGCTCGGGGAAGGACGGCACACGCCCGAAGTCACACGGCTACTTTGCAGAGGCATGTTCAAACGGGCAGGGCTATTGTCCCACCAGCCAACATCTGGCTTTCCAGAAACCTGCAATCAACGGGTGGGGGGGGGCGCATCATCAGGCATGAGGCAGAAGAGGGGCACTTACCAGTTCCTTCTGGAGAGTCTTTTTGAGTTCCAGCATCCTCTGCTGCATCTGCTTTATGGTCTGAGACAAAGCCCCGCCCCCGCAAAAAGCCATTCATCACATGCACTTTTCACCATCGTTAAGGTGCAAAGGACAACAGAACAGCCAGCCACTGCCTTGGGACCCCATACATCTGTCCTAAGATCCTGCCCTGCCTCCCCAGAGCCTTGTGTTGTCACACTTGCGTGCCCGGGACTCTAACCCCCTTTCTGGACGCTCTGCATGCACGAGCTCTGCAAGGCCGCTGCAAAGGCCACTGTCACACCCCCTCTCTAGAGCGCTCAGGCCCAGGGCTGCCCCAGCCTACCCACAGGGGCTCGGCCCTCAGGACGGCTTCTGGGGCATGCTCTGGAAGGAGCACAGCTGGAAACCCCTCTGGACAGTACGCTTTGTCCTTCAGAATTATATTTATGTGCCACGATCCCACATCACTGCTCTCCTGAAGTATCATCATTTTCAATGCTTATTTTTAACAGTGTAAGAAATCATGATTTTTCTGTCCTTATCTAGTCTTTAAATTTTCTTTTATTTTTAATGAATTTAATTAGTCTTAAGTGTAACTTGTTACACACTCCAGTAATCACTAGAAAGGCTAACCTCTGTTTTCCTGATGAAAGCTTTACTGTATAATCAGCAATACAGGAAAAAAATGTTAAACGTTTCTCCCAAGTCTCACAACTGTAACACCAAAATTAGTTTTTCCTGTGGACTTCTGTGTCACCAATCTTGGCTTCTGTAGCTAGAATTTTGTTTTTGGTTTTTTTAAAAGATTTTATTTATTTATTTTGGGGGGTGGGCAGAGAGAGCCAAGGAGTGGGGAGGAGGGGCAGAGGGAGAAGCAGACTCCCCGCTGAGCAGGGAGCCCTACGCAGGACCCTGGGATCATGACCTGAACCGAAGGCAGACGCTTAAATGACTGAGCCGCCCAGGTGCTCCACTAGCTAGAATTTTAAATAGTGTTTTTCATTTATCAGAGTTTTCACACCTTTCCACAGATTTCCTTTTTTTTTTTTTTTTTTAAGTACGCTCTACGCCCAGTGTGGGGCTTGAACTCATGACCCTGAGATCAAGAGTCACATGCTCCACCAATTAAGCCTGTCAGGTGCCCCCTTAATTTTAACCTTTAATGTGACAGTAACTCTAGGGGATGCCCCACGTCTTACAGTGGGGCTGAGCCTCCATTTTTAAAGCGTTGGTCAGCTTTGCTTTCTCCAGAGGTATGTCCACAGTCGTCTCTCCACAGAATTGAGATGGCTCTGTCAGAGGCTCGGCTCCTATCAAGCACATTAAATGGCCTCCAATACACCCTATTTTATAAATGGTAATGTGTTGTTTCAGTCTGTTCTTCTTTTGGCTGAGCACGAGGCTGGACATTCATTTGAAAGTACATTTGCTATTTTATGTTACCTGACTTTCTAGGTTTTTGGCTCATGGATTAATTCATCTAACAAATACCGATTGAGTTCCTACTATGTGTTAGACACTGAACTGGAGGCTGGGGGAAAACAATAAGCAAAACAAGAAAAATGTCTGCTCTCAGGAGGGAAAAGTGCCGATAACCAGATATTAGTACATCAGAAGGTATTAAGTGGTGTGGAGAGAAAGAGCAAGGTAAGGGGACAGGAGGTTCTGGTGCTGAGGGCTGCCAAGGGTAGCAGGGAGGCCTCCTTGACAAAATGACACCATAAAGGCAGTGAGGGAATTGCAGGAAGAATCTTCCAGACAGAAGGCTCAGCAAGTACAAACCACCCTGAGGCAGGAGGGTGCTTAATATTCACAGCAAGGCAAGGCCAATGTGGCTGAGAGGAAGTGCTGGGGTTGGCAGAAGGGGTGCAGTAAAAAGGGTACTAAGGAGGCAAACCACACAGGGCTTTGTGGGCCCCTGCAAGGACTTGGCTTTTACAGAGAGAGGAAGTCATCAGAGAGGTGGAACCCTGGGGTGACGGGGAAACCAGTCAGAAGCCGAACACCAGCCTGTAGGGGAGAGACGATGGTAGCCTGACCTTGGGTGGTGACGGCGGTAGGGATGGGGAGCAGCTCAGTTTGGGTGTAGCCTGAAAGGAGAGCCAAAAGGACTGGCTACAGGTGTGGCTGGTGCTCGTGGGAGAGACCCAAGGGTTGAGAATGACACCAAGATTTGCCGGGCAGCATGGTGAGTTTGAAGTTTGGGTGGTTTAAGCTTCAGATGTGTTTTAGACACGCCGCGGAGGTACAGAGACGATCTAGGGCTCCCGGGAGCGTCTGGGCTTGCGGGCAGCGTGCGGCAAGCGACTGAGTGCCATGAGAGAGGGGGTCTGAGGGCTGGGCCCTGGGGCACACAGTGTTTGTACACTTTTGTGTATTTTGTATTTCACACTAAGATTAAATGTGTGCGTGTGCGCGCAAGAGAGGGGATGAGCACTTTTTCCTTTTGTTAAAGGTCTAAAAAAAATACACACCCGCAATCACACTCTGGAGGCAAGGCAATGAGCAGCCAGCACACTTGACTTCCCAGGGCCCTTGGACACCAGGATGGAACGAGACCCCGCACCTGAAGGTGCAGAGGCTGGTGGGGTGGGTGCAATCATGACATTCACTGACCCTCTGCCAAAGAGCAGAAATGTTACAGGACAGCTAGCAGACGCTTTCATCTCACCCCCCACCACCCTGCCCCCCGGTAAAACCACGTGAAGACAGGCATCGCTGGGGCACTTCACGGCTGTGGAAAGGAAGTGAGAGGTGAGGTGACTGGTCCAGTAGGACCCACTGGTGACAGCAGAGGTGGCTGTGAACGTCTGAACTCACAACTGCTCGAGCTCTAACACGCTGAACATTATCTCAGCTGGGGGGAGGTGGGAAAGGCACGCAGACAGGTGGAAAGACGGGAAGAAGGCCTTCTGCCGAGAGGTAAGATCCCCCCCGAGATGTGCCCGGGGCACCGGCGTAACTCGAGGAAGGGACCGAATGGCTTTAGGCACAAATACCGGGAAAGTGCAGGGAGACAAACAGTTGAGGCAAGAAGCACCCTCACCTTATTTTTCTCCACAAGTTGCTGCTCCAACTCCTGCTTCTCCTTCTGTAGCTGCCCGAGGTCCACGACCCCCACTGCACCGTTTGGGATTCTCTCCGCCGCTGGAAGCTGGTACATGGGGTCCTGCGCGGCCCTCGAGGTTACCTACAGGGCGGCGGCAGCAAGCTGACAGCCAGGCCAAGGTAACGGTCAAGCTAAGCCGCAGGTCCCTGGGAAAGGGGACCAGATCGGTTCCCAAGGTGCGGACCGGTGAGCTCGAACAGGCAGCTGGCCAGGAACCACAGCTGAACCGTGGAGATCCCGTCCAGTGCCTTCCAGAGCGACAATCAGCTTTCCCCGCGGCGAGCGTGCTCGAAGGAAAGGGCTCTTAACGCCTGCACCCTGACACGTGGTGCCACATCCGATGGGCTCCTCGACACCCACAAGCTCTTGGTCAGTTAAGCACCCCCACTTTAAAGAGAGGAAGCTAGAGCACAGAGAAGTGACCTGCCCAACACCCCGGAGCTAGTGAGCACCAGCTGCGTCTTCCTGTAATCCTGCCGCCCCCTTCCCACTGCCTCGAGGCCAACTGCAGCGGTCAGCCGTGCGTCCTGCCGCACCACGCCACGCTGCCGCCATGCCCGGCCCGCCGCTCCAGTGGGCACTTACGTGAGGCTCGGGCACTGAGAGCGTCAACCCCTGCTCGGGGCTGGGCAGCCTCAGCACATCGTCCCTCGCAGCAGCCTCGGACTCCTCTGCCCTCAGGCTCTGCAGGGCTTCCAGCTCACTCTGCAGCTGACGCATCTGTGACAGGGCAGAGTCATGACCTAGGCCAGGCAGAGGGGGGCAACCGTCAGCCCGGTGACTGCGCCGCTTCCGGGCAGGGTACCTGGTGGGGAGCCGGTCAGAAGGCTCGACAGGGATAGACTCCTCACCTTTCTTCAGCTGGAAAATCTCCTGCTCTTTCTGGAGAATCACTTCAGTTTTCTCCTGCAGAGTCTGCTCCTTCTCATCTAGAACAGCTGTGAGGTTAGCAGCCTTGGACAGAAAGACCAACAAGATGAGGCTGGCAGCAGTAACCCCCTTTCCCCCAAAAGGAATCTCCAATTTTCCACTACCCAGGGTCCCCCCATGAATCCCTCCCTGCAGCCCACAGCCTAGAACACCCCCTAGCTAAGCTCTGCTCGTAGGGGCACGCACGGGGCCGGAGCCCTGCACAGGAGCTAGCCCTCACTGCTCACCCGGCCTACACTGGGCCTCCCGGACATGCGGCTGCTCGGCCCGGCCTTGCGGGTCCTGAGTGCCCATCACACGCCTGGCGTTTGATACACATGACCTTGTCACACATGTCTGTTACGCTTCCTGAAAGGTGTAATTATCCTCAGTTCTTTTCAGAGGCAACTGAGACTCCTGTTTGTTAAGGACTTACTGAAGGCCTGGAGCCCAGGAACTACCAGGTCTGGGGCCTGACACCGAGCCTGTCTGAAAAGGAAGGCACTTCCCATCCTTCCCACTGACAGCTCAGCTGTATTACGGTCTTGGGGGCCTGTGGCCAGTGATAGTCCCCTCACAGAATTAGAGGCCGGTAGGTACCTGGATATGGGCTTTTCCCCAGGTGAGCAATAACTGACCATCAAAAATCAAAAAAGGCCTATCCTGTGGGGTGAGGATTTCTTTATAACACTTTTCTCCCACCTTCCAAAGACCTCAGGGGAATCACTCAGTTGCTGGCATTCCTGAGACCTAGGTCCAGCCCCTGTCCTGGACACAAGGGGAGGTAGGCTGGTCCTACCTGAGGCTGGAACTCACCCCCGCCCAGCCCCGCCCCGGGCCCACACCTCTGGGTCAAGCGGGGCCTACCTGTTGCTGGAACTCTTCCCTCTGCTTCCGTACTTCGTCCAGGGCTTGAGCCATGGCAACACTCACAATTTCTCTTTGGCTCCATTCTTCCTACAATCCAGAAAAGAGGGAGGAGATTGGGTCTCAAAACTCATTTCAGTTTCTTAGCTGCACGCTACCTGAAGCCCACCATGGGAATACGGCCTTACAGGGCCAGATTAACGTTCTTATTCCTTCTCGAGGTTCCCAGGCTGCTTGCTCACTGCAATGCCTTCTGTAACCCTCCAGGAACTGTCCTGCCGGGCAACCCACCGGCCTCTCCCCAAATGGGCACACCGCGGAGGGTTGGTTATCCCCTGGGCACACCAGTCAGTTCTTGGGCCAAGGTTAGGGGACCGAGAAGTTGGAAGAGAAGAGCTGGTCTAATGAAATCAACATGGAACACGAAGAAAGATCCTCAGGCCCACGTGAATGGACTAGTGGACTGGAGCAACCCAACTGATTACAGGAAAAATAAGAAGCAATTACTGAATTGTAATAGGACAAAATGCTACAGACTCATCAAAATTATCCATTTTAGAGGAGAGAAAAAGGCTCTGAGAGGTGAATCTGCCTGAGGTCCCACAGCTGGTGGGATAGCCAGATTTCAAGCCAGCATCGGTCTAAGCTCAGAGCCAAGCCTCTCTGAATGTTAGACTCTACTACCCAGATTATTTTCTACGCTGAGCAGGGCCGCCTCCTCAGCCTTCCCCAGAGCACAGGATCTATCTCCTGACAAACACATCAGTTCTCTTCCCTGCGATGGATGCCGCGCTCACTGCTCAGTCCCAGACTTCTCAGGTGCCTTCGTTCTGGTCAGGGACATCTGTTTTTCCGGTCTACCCAGGATCGCCCCATTTTTGGGGTAAGAGCCTCATTACTGCTATTCCCCACTTCTGCCCTGCAGTTCCACGTGGTTCTGGTAGGGCTGCCAGTAATAATATGCCCATTTTGTGGCTGTAAGGATAAGCATGTGATTCAGACCTAGCCAATCACAGTACCCCTTGGCCAAACTGACCTGTCCATGGGGTGGCTCTGTCACCTCAAATGGACCAATCAAAATCCCTTTTTATATCAGAATCCTTTTTAATATGGTGAAGCCTAAGGGGAGAAGCCCTCTTTCCTGAGCTGGCATGTTACCAGCTTGGAGCTGCTGTGGTCATGTCCACCCAGTTTGCAGGCCGCAGTCTGCATCATGGAGAAAAGGCAGGCCAAGAGTTTGGGTAACTGACAGGGCAGGAAATAGCATGATGCAGGAAGAAAAGAGACCTGAGGGCCGCGCCCCCGCCTCCCCCCCAGTTCCAGCTGGACAAGTCTTTCTGGTTCTGTGAGCTACTTATCGCCCCTTCCACTGATGCTGGTACAAGTTGGTTCATGGAAGGGGAGGACAGCCTCCTGGCCAGGGGCATTCTGGCTCCTACTGTGCAGTTGTCAGAATTGACCTTCCGTTGAGTCCATCTCTAGTAGAGACAAGAAAAACGGGTGCCTGAATTCAAGAGGAGGGACCTCGCCCTACCTACCCCAGATAACACCCCTCATCAGGGGTGGCTCTGTTGACACAGGAGAAGCAATTCTAAAACCCTGGCCCTGTGGGTGGAGGGTGGCAGAAGCCTTTTCTGGGGAGGATGAGAGGAGAGCTGGGACTGCTGACGTCTCAGAGGATGGCAGGCTGACTGAGCGGAAGCCAGGAAAGCGGGTGAGGGCAGGAACCAGTCTCAAAGCCGCCCCTTGCCAGGGACTGCACATGTCACTTTTCCTCAGGGTCACACTGGATCCTCAGGCTAATCCTCTTGAAGGCAAGGGTGAAGAGGTTCAGTTTTAAAAAAAAAAAAAAAAGGAAACTAGATTCCTTCAAGAATTTGTTAGTGAGGGGCCGGCCGGCAGGCAGAACAGATCCCGCGTGGCTGTGAAGCCACACCCGGTCCAGGACTGTGGGATTCGAGGCCACCTGGCACAGCTCAGCCACCGCCTCCAGCAGCCCTCTGCACCTGGGAATGCCTTCCCGGAGGGAATTCGAAATATGTATGCACCTAAAAATAGTGCTTCAAAATATTTGAAGCAAAGATTGGCCAAATTAAAGAGAGAAAGAAGACAAATCCATGATAATAGCTGGAAGATTCAGCACACCACCCTTACGAACTGATGGAACAAGAAGACAAAAAAGAAAAATCAGAAAACACAGAGAAGATCTGGACAACCCTCTCACCCAACTTGATCTACGGAGCACTTATGGAACGCTTTCCCCTCACGGTGGCAGTGCACTGAATATTTCCCCAGACACTACAGGCTGGGGCATAAAACAAGCCTCAATAAATATCAAAGAACTGGAATCAGTTCGTGTATTATCTGACCATAATAGTATTAAACTAGAAATTCAAGACATCGAGAACATTCCCCAAACGTGTGAAAATTAACCACACCTCCCAACAGCCTGTGTGTGTGCTGGTTTTTAAGTTACCGCCTATCGACCCCACTTCCCTCTTTCATATTCTGCTTTGCCCTGCTATGCCTGGGACTCCGCAAACGCCTTTTCTGCTTGTCTAGCTGGTTCCATATGAATCTCTGCCCACAGGAGAAGCTCGAGGGAGCCTGGAAGGCAGGAGGACAGAGCAAGAGACTTGCTCCTTCCTGTCAGCTTCCTGTTTCCGTGAGCAATGCTGCTTCACGGGGGCAGCAGAATTTCTTCCTGAAGCGGCAGGACGTGGGGCTGACCTCATTCACTGCCTTGTTCCCCCAACACATACCAGCACCCACTGAACAGCATCCCCTGCTCAGAGGTCCGAGTGTCAGATCTGTGGGGCTCTTTGTCTTAATTCCTAAGATTAATAATTCTACATTCTTTGCTTTGTTCCCTTACTTGTAGCCATTCCTGCATTCCATCACCTTTGTGACAGCTTATGACTGTTTCTGTGCTGGAATAAAAACCTTACATGAGGACATAAATTCTCACTCAAATAACTGGTATCGTTCGTTTCTCCTGACTGGACCATGATGGATACACTGCAGGACAGATTTTCTGTTTCTTCTTGTGCACATTAGTTGCAATGATCATCGCTCTTCATTCTTTCTTGCTGCCTTACATCTTCCGTGCATCTATGGAGAATCTTCCTTCACCTGAATGATGCTCTCTAGCATTCCCTTTAAGTGGAAATCTGTTGGTGGCTAATTCCTTGTTTCTGTTTTATTGGTTTTTCTAGTTCTACTACCATGCTGTGTCTGGGTATAGATTTTAAAATTTATCCTGGGGGGGGGTGCCTGGGTGGCTTAGTCACTGAGAGCGTCTGCCTTCGGCTCGGGTCATGATCCTGAGGTCCTGGGATTGAGCCCCGCATTGGGCTCCCTGCTCCGCAGGAAGCCTGCTTCTCCCTCTCCCCCTGCTTGTGTTCCCTCTCTCGCTATGTCTCTCTCTCTGTCAAATAAATAAATAAAATCTTTGGGGCGCCTGGGTGGCTCAGTCGTTAAGCGTCTGCCTTCGGCTCAGGTCATGATCCCAGGGTCCTGGGATCCAGCCCCACATCAGGCTCCCTGCTCTGCGAGAGGCCTGCTTCTCCCTCTCCCGCTCCCCCTGCTTGTGTTCCCTCTCTCGCTGTGTCTCTGTCAAATAAATAAATAAAATCTTTAAAAATAAATAAATAAATAATCTTTAAAAAAAAAAAAAAAGAATCCTCACACCTGTACCTGTGACTTAACAGCTTTCAGCAGTTTGAAAACTTCTTAGCTATTATCAGTTCAATAATTGCTTTGGTCTCAGAGTGCCTGGGTGGTTCAGTTGGTTAAGCGTCTGACTCTCGGTTTCCACTCAGGTCATGATCTCAGGGTTGTGAGATCATGCCCAGCATCAGGCTCTGTGCTCAGCAGAGTCTGCTTGGGATTCTCTCTCCTTCTGCCGTTCCCCCTGCTCTCCTTCTCTCTAAAATAAATAAATAGGGGCGCCTGGCTGGCTCAGTCGGTGAAGCGTCTGCCTTCAGCTCAGGTCATGATCCCAGGGTCCTAGGATCGAGCCCCGCATCGGGCTCCCTGCTCGGAGGGGAGCCTGCTTCTCCCTCGCCCTCTGCCCCTCCCCCCCAGCTCGTGCACTTTCTCTCAAATAAATAAAAATCTTTAAAAAAAAATAAAATCTTTTAAAAAAATAAGTAAATAATGTCTTTAAAAAATAATAGTTGCTTCAGTCTCACTTGTGCGCTCCTTTCTGAGCCCCCACTCACCTGGGATCAGGCACCTCCCAGGATCCTGTCTTTTATCATGCCTTTTCTGTATTTCATTCTGTCCTTCCTTCTACTTCACTAGTTCTCTCTTGAGTTCTAATCTGCTCTTAAACATACTGTTTTTTTTTAAACATACTGTTTTTAAAAACAACTTTCCTGAACTATAACAATATGCTGTGCATATTTCAAGCGTGCAATGTGGTTAGGGTGAAGACATCACCACAATAAAGACCATGTAAATACTCATTACCCCCAAAAGCTTCTGCATGCCCTTTCAGAGTGTACCACATTCTTAGTTCCAGCTCTACTTTCTCTGGCTCTCATGTTCTAAGTTGTTTCCCTTTTAACACTGCTGCCTTTTAGGATAGTTTCCAAATCTCTGCTGCAATTTTCAATTTTGTCCTTTATGCCCTTAAACATAGTAACTAATATAATATCTGAGCCTCCTAACAGCTCTTCCTGCTTCTCTACTTGCTTCCTTTCCAGAACATTCTCTACAAAGAGCCAGAGTAATTGTTTTAAAACAAAACTTCTCCCTGCACCCTCTCAGGTCCCATCCCTTTTCAGGAGCTTTGTACCATCGCTCAATAAACTTTGCTTTGCTGCCCACCAAAACAAAACAAAACACCCCACAAAACTTCTCCCATCATTTCTTTGTTCAAAACTCGCAACTATTTCCCTGCCTGCCTCCTCGCCTCTTCTTCTCCCCCAGGCCACTAAGCAGCAGCCACACTGACCTTTGTGCTGTTCTCTGAACAAAATAAGCTTTTTCCTGCCTCAGAGCTTTTCTATTTGCTATTTCTTCGGCCTGGACTATTCCCTTCCCAAACATGCACACTGCTGGCCCCTTCGCATGATTCAGGGCTTTTGCTCAAATATCACTGAAGCCTTCCCTAGCCTCCATATCTAAAAGAGCCCTCTCCTCCCTACTCTCTGTCCCTCACTCTGCTTTACTCTCTTCATGGCATTTAGGACTACTGCTCGTCTGCCATCTCAAGTTACAGGCTCCACAGAGGGGAAGTTTCGTCTGTTTTGTTCATATCCCAGCACCTACAGTGGTGCCCACAGGTACTCCAACGTTTGTTGAAGGCATGCATGGAAACAGACTGACTGCAAAGCCCAGAGTTCCCACCATTCAGCACTACTGCCTTAGCAGCTACCTAACCTAGCAGAGACTATTACCGAGAGCTTTACCTAATGCAGACCCTCAGCTATGGATGTTCTGTTCTGTTTTGTTTTTTTTTAAAGGGATTTTTTTTTTTAAGATTTTTAAATTTATTTATTTGCCAGAGAGAGCGAGGAGGAGAGAGCGAGAGTACAAGCAGGGGGAGCAGCTAAGCAAGGAGCCCGATGTGGGACTTGATCCCAGAACACTGGGATCATGACCCGAGCCGAAGGCAGAAGCTTAACTGACTGAGCCACCTGGGGGTCCCGTTACGGATGTTCTGAGAAGGTCTCTGCCAAAAGACCCACAAGATCTCTGTGTCATGACCAAGTTGGGCAAGTACTGCAATGATCCATCATCTAAGGGCTTCTTTGAAAGGGGACCGAGGACCCTGGAGGCCTCTAAGAAAGTGGCAGAAACTCTCTTTCCTTTGCATCCAGTTATGTCCAAGCCGAGAAGCAGGCAACGTCTGATTAAAGCACCAAGTTCTCAGAAGGGAAAGGTTAACAATCCAGTAGACTGTTCCTTCATCTCTATACACGGGCTCCAACATAACAGACAAGGTCCTTACGATCACGTAAGCCCTTGCTTTACTAGTCCCACTGGAAAGATCAACACCAGTGCTTTGACAGTATGACTTTCAGACAGATGCGCACAGTGACACAGAGGGGTTGCTGGTTGAGTGAAGTCAGACCAGCATCACCTTGAACTAACTATGGAACTTGGACAAATTACTTATACTCAGAGCCTCAGATGACATTAATTGCAAAATGAGCATAATTCTTCCTACCATCCTGGATCACTGAGAGGACGTACTGAGGTGACACTTTCTAGCAAATGTCTCACGGAACTGTTGAACAAATGCTCGTTCACGCCTTCTCCACTCGGAGCACAGAACGTTCACTGGGCTGCTCCCAGTACACACGTAAGAGACAGGCCACTGCTGTGACACGCTGGTGCCGTGAGGTAAATACCTTTAGCTTCTTCAGTTCAAGTTGGTGGTGTTGTAAAGAACGTTCACATTCATTCTTACTTTCTTTGAGGGCTGCATTTTCTTGCTCCAGCTCTCTCTGCAAATTGAGAAAAGCACGCATAAGAAGAAAAGGGCTTTCCCCTATTTCCCCCAGGGGCACAGTCCTACAGACACGGAGCCTTTTAAAATGCATCGCACCCTTTGTGTCACGGCAGGGGAGGGAGAGAATGGGGCAGGGGTCAGAAAGAGCCAGTGGACACAGGCCTCACAAGAAGAAACATGGCACCGGACTCAGAAGATGTGGAACGGGGAAGGGGACCAGAGAGCGGGAGGGGCCCCGAGGGAGGAACAAGAACACTGTGGAGACTTGGTGGGAAGAGGCTGAAGGGGCTGCACAGGAAGTGCCAGCAAGTCCCTGCACAGCCCAGAAGAAAAGGAAAGCCATCTGTTTGGGGTCTTATTAACAGCAGCCTTTTCACAGCCATTCTCATGAGCAGGTGCCTTGTTGGAAAGATAAAAACTGCTCCAAAAAGTGGTTCCCTTGTTTGGGGGGGGGGGTGCTGGGCCTCTCGCCGGCAAAGACTTGGCAGCCCCGCCCTGTGGCGCTCACAGGCCGGGCCTCTCTCCTCTCCTCGCTCACCACCTCCCGCTCCGCCGCCGACGGCGCGTCCGCCCCCCCCCCCCCCCCCCCCCGCCCCGCCCGGTCTCTCTCCAGGGCCGCAAGCTGCGCCTCGAGCGTGCGCACGCGCTCCAGGCACTGCCGCTCCAGAGACGGCACCTGCCGGGCGCAGCGCTGCTCTCCCGGTTTGCGGCGGCCTACGGCGGGGGGGCAACGGTTAGCCGTGGGGACGCCGAGGACCCCATTCTCCTCCTCAGTGAGCCAAAGATGGGTGACCAGTAGAAACAACTCTCGTTCCTGATCTCTGGCCTGGGACCGGTGGCGGTCCCCACCTGCAGCCCCGCCTCTTGCCGCTGGCCCGTTCAGAAGCCAAAGTCTGGGACTGGTCTCTCTGTGCTGGGGGGACACCTTAGGGCATCGGCCAGTCCCAAGACACAGCCCTCCTTCCCCTAGTTGGTGCTGCTTTCTACGGCTGAGGCTTTTCCCGGGGAGGCAGTGTAGATCTCCTTCAGTTTATGATGGGGTTGCAACCCGATAATCCCATTGTAAATTGAAAATACGAAGTCAAAACAAGCATCAGGGCTTAGCCTAGCCTACTTTAAATGCTCAGAACAGGGGCGTCTGGCTGGCTCAGTCAGCAGTGCATGTGACTCTTGATCTCGGGGTTGAGAGTCTGAACCCCACATTGGATGGAGAGATTATTAAAATCTTTTAAAACAAAATCTTAAAAAAAATTTTTTTTAATTAATTTATTTGACAGAGAGAGACAAAGTGAGAGAGGGAACACAAACAGGGGGAGTGGGGGAGGGAGAAGCAGGCTTCCCGCAGAGCAGAGAGCCCAATGTGGGACTCAATCCCAGGACCCTGGGATCATGACCTGAGCCGAAGGCAGACGCTTAACGACTGAGCCACCCAGGCGTCCCAAAAAGTTTTTTTAAAAATTGCTCAGAACACTTACATTAGCCTACAGCTGGGCAAAGCTTATTTTATACTGAAGTGTTGAATATCTCATGTAATTTATTGAATGCTGCGCTCGAAGTGAGAAACAGAAAGGCTATATAGGTACAGATCAATTGTTTACCCTGTGATCACATGGCCGCCTGGGAGATGGGGCTCCCTGCCACTGTTGCTCATTGAGGGAGAGTACTGTACTGCCAATCCTTAGCCCAGGAGAAGCTCAAACTTCAAAATTTGAAGTACAGTTTCTACCACAGGCATATTGATTTTGCATCTCATAAAGCTGAAAAATCACTAAGTTGAACCATCATAAATCAGGGACCATCTATATAATACAGTGATGATGAACAAGGGCTTTGACGTAAGAAAGGTGAGGGTTTTGCCATTTATTAGCTGGGAGACCATGACCACTGGGTTACTGACCCAGTTTTTCCCAACCAGCTTCCTCTAGAGAATGAGGCTAATTGCACATGCCTCTTAGGTCTGTAGCAAGGACTAAGTGAAACACGGGCAGAATACTTTAGCACAGTGACTGGAACAGCCAGCATACAATAAATACTGTTTATTTCTCTAGATTCTAACTCAGCACCCCACCTGGGACTGCGACAGCTGGCCAAGCCCTTGCCATGTTCTCCCCAGAGCTGGGACCTGTTCTCCACAGCCCTGGCTGCAAGCCACCACCTCTAACAGTCCCAGAACGAGGCTGGGCCCTACGGCCAGCCATCAGATGGGCATTTGCCAGGCTCCACCTCTTTGGGTAACTCGGATCCTCTAGCAGGTCCTGACTCCCTCTACCCGAAGCTGCCCACTCATATCCAGCTCCACAGCTGTATCTAAGGTCAGGTCCAGAGACCCCACCGGAGTGAGTCTGGGGCAGCTGCAAAGGCGTAAAGGGCAAGCATCAGGGGCCCAGAACCACTTACGAGCTCCTGAATCTGAGCTTCCTGAGCTGCCATGACATCACCACTGTGCTTCAGCTTCTCCTCAGACGCTTGCAAACTCAGCTCGAGTTCTTTCACCTGAGGGGGAAAGAGAATCCTTCTTTCATTCAAAAGAAGCTGAAGAGTGGTAACATATGGCTTTAAAAATCAAATCCATTTAAACTGTAAAACAGGTACATTACAGAAAAGTTTTTAATTAGAAAAAAGACACCTATACATCTACCATTATACATGCCACCATTCTAACATCTTTTCCTCTGGTGTATTTTTTATGATTTTTTTTTTTTTTTTTTTTTTACAACTTTGTATACAATTCTAGGAAAACTTTGTATTTTTTCCTCCTCACTCAAGGTTCCTTCTGTGTTCCCGTGGGGGTCTTCAGAACTTAGACTGTTTCCTTCAAGGACACCTCACAATTTACTGAACCACTGGCTCCTGCGCCAGCACATCAGTGGTTTCCCCACTCTCCCACCTGAGACCATGCAGCAGTTAACATCTTCACCCAACATTCTGTGACCTGGCTTGAGCCACTTCCTTAGGATAGATTCCCAGAAGTGGGATGACTGCTCATGACACAAACTTGCACTCATTCCACAGGCATCAACCCTCACTGACTTTGCATGAGGCCGTGTGGCTGGCCCTGTGGACAGGACCCCACCCTGTCTGCCCAGCTGGATGTGGCTCTCCAACAGGGCGTTTTTATCCGGTTCGAGCCACCTTTGCCAATTTCCCTGCTAAAGTCCTCTTGTTTTGCTGAATAAGGTCTGACCCTGAGGAAGCTTACTATTAAAACCTAAACACAAGGAAAGTTGCAGCTTTGTCAAGAAGAAGTAGGTACCCAACGAGAGGAGGACACTTTTAGGTCTCATGGATCCTCTTACACATTCACATGGAAGACTGAGCTGAAGCAACTCCCAGAAAGCAGGGTATTTCTACAGAGGAGAACAGTAATGTTACTTGTCCAGGATCACAAATTTTATCAGTGGTAGAGCCAGAACTGAAACCTAGTTTTTTAAACTCCTGGGTACAGAAAGTAGCTATCCAAGTCTCAACTTAAGAGGCAGAGCTCAAGAAAGATTCAGATCCTCCAGAGGTTAAGCAGAGACTTATCATATGACCTGGCAATTCCACTCCTAGGTATAAACCCAAGAGAAATCAAAGTGAAAGCTCACACAAAAACCTTGTTCATAGCACTACACTCATGTTTATTTTTCACAACAGTCCATGGACAAATGAAGGGATAAACAAAACGTGGTACAGACATATAAAGGAATGAAAGCCTTTTTAAAAAAAAAAAGCTTATTCAGCCCTGGGGCACCTGACTGGCTCAGTGGTAGAGTATGTGACTCATGATCTCGGGGTTGTGAGTTCAAGCCCCATGTGTGGCGTGGAGTTTACTTAAAATTAAAAAAAAAAAAAAAAAAGGCTTATTCAGCCTTAAAAAGGAATGAAATTTGGACACAGGCTACAGCATGAATGAACCTTGAAGACATATGTCAAGTGAAATCAGTATGATTCCACTAATATGAGGTTCCTAGAGTAGTCAGATTTATATGGACAGAAAGTAGAATGATGGTTGTCAGGGGCTGGGGGTGGGAGAGAATGGGAAGTTAGTATTTAATGGGGACAGAATTTCAGTTTGAAAAGATGAAAACGTTCTGGAGATGATGGTGGTGATGGTTGCACGACAGTGTGAATGGGCTTCATGCCACTGAATTGTTCCCTAGAAATGGCCAAAATGGTCACTTTTATGTCATGTATATTTTATCGCAACAAAAAGATAGATATTCAGAAACAGAAATGAATTCTAATAAAAGAAACCAAGCTGTACTGAGAAATAGAGAGCTTTAAGCATATTTATCAGGAAATAAGATTTTAAAAATGAGCTATGCATTTGCTATGGTCTGAATGTTTGTGTCCCCCATATTCATGTGGAAATCCTAATGCCCAATGTGATGGTAACAGGAGGTGGGGCCTTTGGGAGGTGCTTAGGTCGTGAGGGTGGAGTCGTCATGACAGGGTTAGTGTCCTTATGAAAGAGGCCCCCCAGAGATCTCTTACCCCCTTCCACCACTTCACACTCATTAAACTGGCAAACAAACAAACAAATGGCTGGACAAGGCAGCAGTGCAGATGCAGAAACCCACCAGGGGCAGCCCCTGCAGGAACGTCCTTGTCCTACTTAAGTCACATTAGGTCGTATGCATTCTCTGTCCTCAAGGTGACAGGGACAAGGCTATTCGGTGCAGTGTAGCCTGTGGTGACAAGGGGGGCGGCCAGCTGGATGTCCAGCATCTGGTAAATAACCACAATGTGGAGCAGTAAACACAACGACGTGGACATGGACAGAGTGGAGCGGGTGAAGGGGACGGTGTGTGTGAACTATATCGCTTACGTAAATTCACACACATGCACACAAAACGAGGCCGTCCATTTTAAGGTAAGCCCACAACACAGGGATCTGTAACAACCCCATCAGAATGGTTTCCTGTGGGAGGGGAGGGAGCGAGGATAGAAGAGAATAAGCAAGAGAACAACGTTGTGTGGAACAATGGTGGCGCTGGGGCAAGAATGAAGACGATGACTAACACAGCCGTGTGTGTGTAAGAGCCGAAACAGTCCCTTCAAAAGAAAACCTCTGAGCCCAGGGGATTCTCCCTCAACGATGTCGTCCAACCAGGCTACCACCCAGACACAGGAATCCCTGGGAGTGAGGTCAGTACCCGAGTCTCCAGGATGTCAGTGGCCTTGGCCTGGCTGCTTCTGGCTGCCATGAGCTGCTGTCTGGTAGCCTCCAAATTCTGCTCAGCAACAGTTTTCTGTAAGTTGAAAGAAGAGTAAAAGAAAACAGTCATTTTTCCATTGAATAAATACTTATTAATGTCTACCACATATTGTGATTTGCGTGAGGCACAGGGGACACAAGTGCATTAAAGATAACAGCTGAGATAAAATTCATATATCATGAAGTACACACAGATAAATCTGACACACTCCTTTGACCTTGAGGCTGAGGCAAAAGACTAACAAAAAAACAGAGTGCAAATTAGTGCCCACAAAGATGCCTAGAGCAGGCCACTCACTGCCTTAGGAAAACCGGGTGGCTTCCTAATACACAGGTGGCCAGAGGTGCGGGGGGGTACCCAGGCAGAGTGATGATCAGAGGAGTCGTGAAACAGCCTGGGACATTTGGAGAGCTACGACTTGCAAAAAGCTAAAGTAATAGTGGATTCAGGTCAACAAATAAGACTAGAGAGTCAGGCAAAGGGGCAGATCATGGGAAGCCTTTTATGCTGCCGAAAAGAGTTTGAATTTAATTCTGTAGGCAATATTTTTTAAAGTGGGGTTGTCCACACACTGGTGTTAGACTAACTTGGTGAGGTCTTACACTGGGCCTACTGAAAACGGGATTTCTTGGGGCAGGAATATACACTCTAAACAGACTCCCCAAGTACCTCCTATGCACACTAAGCTTTATAATAATGATGATGGCACAATACTAAGGATCATAATATTAATAGCTGAAATATACAGAGACCCTACTATGTTTCAGAGTTTCATTCTAACACTTCACATATTGTAACTCCTTGAATTCTAACAATTCTATTGTTTGGTACAATTATCCACCCTATTTCACGAGGAGAAAACAAACACAAACAGATTAAGTTACTTGCTCTGTCACCAAGTAGTAAGTAGAAGATGCGAGCTACAAACCTAGGCAGTCTGATTCTAGAAATCAATTTACACCCCAGAAACCATGCTCTACACACTGCAGACTGCAGGGGAGCTGGGGAAGAAGGTTAAGGGAGCAAGGCGGCCAGGAATACCAGCTCGGCAGTGGGCGCAGAAGACCACCTCAGGGGTGAAAGAGGAGACTGCTGCTGGGTAGGCCGGTCTGGAGACCTCTGCTCTGGACTAGGCTCGAGTTGCTGGAAGCCCAGAAATACAACAGGGGCAGTAGAGATGGAGGTGTTGAGTTGAAACGAAGACAGTGAGGATCTAATCTAGGCCCATGGTCTTGGCTTTGTCACCTCTGTCACGGTCAGGTCAGTCACTGGGATACAAAGAGGGGGAGGAGCAGAATATGGGCAGACGATGGGCTCAGGCCTGACGAGAAAGCAAGTTCACCTACACCACTGGGGAAAAGGCCAGTCTGCGCAACAGCCTCGCTCAGCGAAGGAGGTCCCCTCACTGCCGAAGGCTATTCCTGCTCACGCCACAGGCAGACAGTAACGATATTCCTTGGCCACTGGAAAGTGCAAAAGGGTGGAAGAGAGCAGGGCGGTAAGATAAGACAGCCCGAGTGGCATAAATTACCAGTTGGGGTTCACTGGTGATTAGGATGCTGTTTGTTCATAGGCATCTCTGAACGAAGGTCTCCCTTTGTTGAGGAAAACATGGTACACACAGGTGACAGGTGGCTGTTTTTGCCATAAGCAGGACAATCTGAAGTTGGAGGGAGCGCTCTTCTCTCCCAGCTGCTTGTGGACCTTCTGGCTCTGCAGCTCTAGGACTGTATGAAATCTCCAGTGTTCCCACTCCCTCCCCAGCAGTGGCTGTCCAAAGAGAGCTAGTTACCTCTTTCAGCAGTTCCTGCACATGTTCTTCTCCTGATAAGTTCTGCTCTAGTTTCTTCTCCAAGGATGAGACCTTCTCCTGCAAATGGGTGATGAGTTTTTCCTTCTCTTGAGTCTCAGCAGTGGCCTGCAAGTGAAAGCAGAGATTACATTACACTATAACCCCTTTCTCCCTCCCACTTTGTCTCCTCTTGGACCATCACGTTTCCCTGAAATTCTGTTCTCAACTGCCTCTCAGAAGAACACACAGCTAAGAAATCTTCCCTGAAAAGGGACACAGAAGATGCCGGACCGGAACCCAGCACGACCCAGGCATCAGTTCAGACCTAGTGTACCAAGAGGCAATTACTCAGTCAACTTAAGCAACTGATGATGGGGGAAAGAACAAGGCTATGACCTCAGTGGAATGCAGCCAGGACCCTGAGAAGATGCTCCTCTTCTTTAAGACAGTTGGTTTGTACTGTCATGATCTACTACCTTCTACTCTCACCAAGCACACATTTAATTCTATTAGTCCATCCAACAGGACCTACATCCTTAGCCCAGGGGCCAAACTTGGCAGAGGTAATCCCACTCAAGAAGGACCCCACAAGCGCTACAAATGACCAACAGAACGATGTTGCTGGAAATGTGGGGCTGGATGAAGCAGTAATGATGCCAACGTAGCTGACTTAAGGGCTAAGAGAGAACTTCTAAAACACAGGATCACATTCATCCCGGCTCCCAGCATAGCGACCAGGGCAGAGCCACTGCGCACCTCACACCCTGGCCCCAAACAAACAGCTATCTGCTTGATCTCAGTCCATCCCTTTAGCAATGATGGCAGTGGTGGTGGAGGCGGCTTGGAACTTGGCTCCTCTATTACCAATCTTCAAATGCTGCTTAATGTCAAAGCAGAGGATCCAGGAAGCTTTGATTACACAAGTTCTTAGATCCCCAGTGGTCCTTGCATACAATGAAGATGCCCATTCTCTCCAAAAAAAAGTTTGTATAGGGGCACCTGGGTGACTCAGACGGTTAAGTGTCTGCCTTCAGCTCGGGTCATGATGCGGGGGTCCTGGGATGAAGGCCCGCACTGGGCTCCCTGCTCCGCGGGGGGTCTGCTTGTCCCCCTTGTCCCTCTTCCTCTGCCCCGCCCCCAGCTTGTGATCTCTTGCTCTCTCAAAAAAAAAAAAAGTTCCTATAGCATCAACATCTTACTGTGAAGACCTGTACCTCCTCACAAGCACTCTACTTCCTTACTTTATGCTTCTTTTGATCTCAAGCTACTTTCATGTTCAGCTTGGAGCCCAGCCAATCTCTCCTCAGAATAAAATGTAGCAACTTGGGTTTAGGATTTTAAGAGGAAGCACTTGCCATCCTAAATTTTCACAGGGGGTGCCTGGGTGGCTCAGTCGGTTAAGTGTCTGACTTCGGCTCAGGTCATGATCCCAGGGTCCTGGGATCGAGCCCCGCATCGGGCCCCTCACTCCCCACTGTCCCTCACCCTCTGCCCCTCCCCCTGCTCATGTTCTCTCTCTCAAATAAAATCTTTAAACAAAAAATTCTTACAGGGGTTAGAGTATAGGTAGCAGAGGGTTCCAGAGATTGAACTCTCTAGATTCAAGTTTCCATAATTCAGTAAACTTTTATCAAGTCTATACTGTGTGTAGTCTTCTGAGGATACAACCACACATAGTTCCTGACCCACAGAAGCAAAGTGGCTGGTGGTAAAGACACATATACACACAATTAATTATAAAATAATAGTCATGCTGCAACAGAGGGACATACAAGGTGCTATATCAGAGTCAGGAGGGATTAACTGTTTAGGGAAATCAGATCAGGCCTCCTGATGAGGCAAGTCCAGGGAGAAGGGGGCTGGGGCAGAACGAGCCTGGGTACAGTGCAGCACATGCAAAGAGGTGAGGGCCAAGTTCAGCATGACTAGGAAACTGGGAGAAGAGGTAAAGACAACTCCCAAGTCTGTAACTCAGATGGCTGGTGAAATGGTAACATGATACAAAACAGAGAACACAGAGGGAGAGAGAGTTTGATAGGAAAGAAAAACAGTTTGGCCATGATGACCAATCATGGTGGGTCTCTCACTAATAATGCGATAATCATAATGGTAGCTAGAGTAAGCAGAGCATGAGGAAGCACTTCTTATGCTCCCTAGTCCTTCACTGCGTCCATTTAGAAAGAAACTGAAGCTTAGGAACTAGCCCAAAGGCACATACCAGTGATAAATTAAAGATGCAAGCTCAGGTCTTCTGGAGCCAAAGCCTGTACTCATTCTACTACACATCAATGTGAACTTGAGAGATACAGGTGACTCCACATTGAAAACCAAAGTTTTGGTGTTAGGCAAAGTCAGGGACAGAAAAAGAATCAGTCACCAATTTCTATTTAGTCTTCTTGTACACCATATCCCACATGGAGCCCCCCTTTCCACTCTGGGTGCTTTACTTCTAGCCCCCAACACCTTATCTGCTACAGCTAACATTATCCTTAATGGTGAAAAAGCTTTTCCACTAAGATCAGGTGCAAGGCAAGGATGTCCCCTCTCATCAATCCTTTCCAACATTGTATTAGAAATCCTTGCTAATGTAGTAAGACAAGAAAAGGAAATATAAGTACATAGATTGAGAAGGAAAAAAAGGTTGGGGGCATCTGGCTGGCTCAGTTGGAGGAGCGTGTGACTCTTGATCTTGGGGTTGTGAGTTCAAGCCCCACACTGGGTGTAGAGATTACTTAAAAATAAAATCTTAAAAAAATAAATTGCACTTTTTCAACTTTTCTGGATAACGCCTAGTTCTTTCCCATAGTAGTTGGAATAATTCACACCGTCCCATTAGCCACATATAAGAGCTTGCTTGGCTTGTTCTGCTTCCTTTGCCAACATGGTATATTATCAGACATTTATTTTTTGCCAGTCTAATGAGTATGAAATATTATCTCAACATGATTTTAATTTGCTTTTTCCAGATTACTATGAAGTAACACTATCTTTTCATGTTTACTGGACATTATTGTTCTTCTGCGAAGTACTCATCCATCTCTTTTGCCCCTTTTTCTATTGCTCCTTGATTTTCTTTTTCTCCTTGATTATAGGAGTTCTTTATAAATCTCCTGGCTGCCATGCTCCCTTGTCAGTATATATTGGGTTACAAATGTCTTCTCCCAGTTTTTGCCTTGTCTTCACACCCTTTACGGTCTCTTCTGATGAAAATATGCTCTTATTTTTAGTACAGTTGAAATTATTATTTTCCTTTAAGTTCACACTTTTGCTTTTTTATTTTTATTTACTTTAAAAAAAATGGTTCCCCTTTCAGTGGGATTTCCATTTTATTTATTTGTTTTTTTAAAAATAATTTCTATACCCATCATGGGGTTTGAACTCTACAATCCCCAGATCAAGAGTCACATGTTCTACTGGCTGAGCCAGCCAGGTGCCCCCACTTTTGCTTTTATAAAAGATCAGAAACACCCCAAAGTTGATGGTCAATAGGATGGATAAATTTTGGTGACTTCATACTGTATAGTTGAGAAAAGAACAAATTATAGCTCCATGATCCATATGCATGATTTTTAGGAATACAATGTTGAGCACCAAAAGCAAGTTTTAGAAGAATACCTATAGCCCAATTTACATAATTTTTTTTTTAAGATTTTATTTATTTATTTGACAGAGAGAGAGACAGCGAGAGAGGGAACACAAGCAGGGGGAGTGGGAGAGGGAGAAGCAGGCTTCCTGCCGAGCAGGGAGCCCAATGCGGGGCTTGATCCCAGGACCCTGGGATCATGACCTGAGCCGAAGGCAGTCGCTTAACCAACTGAGCCACCCAGGCACCCCCCAACTTATATAATTTTTAACAAGCGTGAGAAACAACAGAAAATACATACTGTTTAGGGATAAAATAACAGCAAAATTATAAAGCAAAAAAAAAAAAAGGAAATGGAACAGTTTCTAGATTCCCTGCAAAAGAAAAAGAAATGGAATGAAACAGTGAATGGCACATGGGGAACCTCAAAGATAAACATATTATTCTTTTTAACCTGGCGCTTAGCCACATAGAGGTTCACTGCCTTGTTATACTCTCTACCTAACTTATTAATAAATGTTACATCTATTCAATAATGATAAGGACAACAAAAAAACTGACTCCAAACTCATAACCTTTGTGATAAAACTGTCCTTCTGCTGGTGCTCTTAGCCCAATGACTGACACTATCAGCCACTCAGTTGGTTAATTCAGAAATCATCACCAAAACTTCCTTTTTTCTTGCTCCTCCTACATCCATTACATTAGCAAGTGGGTCAGTCTCCTATTTCATAAATCTGTCTACTCCCCCACTATCTTCACCACCACTCTTGTCAAAGCCACCACCTTATGCCTGGACAGGTACAAGAGCTTCCTAACCAGACACCCATTCAACGTTTCCTCCTCAAGCAATCCATCCTTCTCTCACTCAATGTGTCCTCTCTTCCAGTTCCCTGAATGTGCTTATCCTTCTACTGCCTCAAGGTTTCTGCATTTATAGTTCATACTGTTCCCTGTTCCTTGCTTAAAATTCTCTCCCACTGCCCCTCCCCCTCCACAGCTCAACTGTTACTTCCTCAAGGGAAGTGTTCTCTGACTCCACGGCTAGATCTGATCTGATGCCATTAAAGGATACCACAACATCCTGTAGTTTTCCTTCACAGCACACATCATGGTTTGCAATTATATATTTATGTGATTACTGATTGATATGACTTCCCCTCTAGACTGGAAGTTCCACAAAGGCAAGGGCGGTACCTGTTTTTGCTCACCACAGTATTTCTAACACTTGGCACAGAGCACTGAGCCTGGCACACAGGAAGGCTCCAATCATATTTTTAGAATGAATGAAGGAACTTATTAGTATAACCAGTCTAGAAAATTACTCTTTCTCATTATGAAATGGTTCGATGGTTCTAATTGATATCAAAGGGCTCCTTGAATCCCAAAATTTTGTGTATGTTATCTCCCCCACCCCTATGTATTCTGTGCCCTTCTGCTTTCTCTGCCTCCTGCTGTACTACCCATCTTTGAAATTCCAGTTTCTCCAGGAAGAGTTCCTTGACTCCTGTGCTGGAAATGCACACACTCCCTATGGCGTATCTTTTCCATTATGAAATGTATTTCACTTGTTTGGGACTTGTTGAGAATTTGTTTTCTTACTGTCACAGGAGGTTTGAGTTCTATAATGAAACTGTAAGCCTCTGAGAAAATACTCTTGAATGTCTAGATCTTCAGTTCACTGAGGGTAGAGATCTTGTATCACAGTCATTCATGTATGTGAGATCTATTTACTGGGTGACCCTTGTTGGGAGGTAACACAGTCCAGGAGGACAAGCATGAGTTCTGGAGTAAGACTTGGGTTAGGGGGCGCCTGGGTGGCTCAGTCGTTAAGCATCTGTCTTCAGCTCAGGATCGAGCCCCACATCGGGCTCCCTGCTTGGTGGGAAGCCTGCTTCTCCCTCTCCCACTCCCCCTGCTTGTCTTCCCTCTCTTGCTGTGTCTCTCTCTGTCAAATAAATAAAATCTTAAAAAAAAAAAAAAAAAGACTTGGGTTAGAATCCAGCTTTGTCACTCACTGCTGAACTCTGAATGAGGTATATAACTTCTCTTAGTTTCCATCTGGGCATCTGTAGATATGCTAAAACCTAGAGGGAAGGAGTATACAGACTTCTTTTCATACAAATCTTACTCTACTATAATGATGCTGTTAAGTCTCTGCTATGCTTCAGATTAGCAGTTCTCAAGGGATGAGGGTAGAGTTGGTCATACCACCCGCCAGCGGGTGTTTTTTCATATGATGGGAAGGGCGGGACTGTCAATGCCTGAAGGATGCTACTGGAACTAAGAACCCAGGGTCCAGGAAAGCTAAAGTCCTGCAATGCGAGGGACAATTACACAACTGTTGTATTCAAAATGGTGAGAAGAAACATACCACCGAGAAACACTAGTCTACAGCCAATAATATTTTTTATTCTTCTTTATAGTCTCAAAACTTAGCACAGGCCTATAATAGGAGGGCAATAAATGCATGTTGGCTAAATGAACGAATGAATTATAAGGATTATCATTTGGAACAAACCGGATTTGGCCACATCAACCATGACTATTACATTTTCTTATGCCCAAGGTCCACCATGTAGTACTTAGAGACAAATTTGTGCAGATCAAATGGTGCGTTTTGAGACTTCCTGCCAGGACAATACTGACCTCTTCTGTTCAGCGGTGTGGCCACTTCCATGAGAATGCAGCCTGGCTAGATCAGGAACTAGGGCCACACAGACTACATGAGAAACAGAAGTTTCAGCACCCATCCTAAGACAGAAAATTCTGATGGATTTAGTTTCTACCCCATTGATGAATCCTAGCAACCTGGATCCACCCCTAGCACTCTACTCACCTTCTGCAAATCCATGGAAAGCTGCTGAATGAACGCTTGGAGCCCTTGTTCCTTTTGCTCCAGGGCTGAGACCTTATTTTCTGCACCTGTTTTTGAAGCTGTCACATGATCTCTTCATTGAAAGAAAGCAGACAACAAACACATTTGGAAATCTCATCTAAGAGACACTCTTCTACAGGAAAAATACATATGGTTCTTTATATGTCAGGGCTGCAAATGTCAGGCATGTGGAAATTATCAGTGGAGAAGACTCCTTGGCTCTTTCTGAAGTAGAAGCCCAAAGAGAAAAATTCCACCCAGGTTTAAGCAAAAAATCGTGATCTGCACGATTGGTTACTCAACACCTTAGAAACAAAAACATATCTGAATCACTTGGCAGGCTTGGAAGCTGAGCTTAGGCAAGTGAAGGGGAGGGAGGATGTTGGGTGTAGAGGGTCTCGAGCCCCGGGCAGGTTAAGGATAGTCTAGAAACCTCTGCCAGAACTGAGATCAGAAAAGTGTTGCAAAGAGCAGTGGGGAAAGGCAGGCAAGCTATAGCCAGGGCTACACTAACACCGCTTCCCATGGGCCCCACAGACCAAGCAAGAACCTCTGCTCTTCCAGCGCTGAGCAGTGTCTCTGCAATTCTTCTAGCTTCTGGCTCAAGTCTGATGACATCTGACTGGAGGTCATCAACTCCTCCCGGGTGTGACTAAGTTCTCTGGTTCGTGCCTCCAACTCTTGCTCCATTTTCCCCAGACTTTCTTCTTTTTTTAAAAGCTGATACAAAGATAGAAAGTTTCACTGGGCCACTACTAAGAAATATTACTGAGACCTATTTTTAAAAATATGGACCAACAAGCCAAATTTTCATAACAATTTTGTGAGCTTATAAGGGGCCCAGTAGTAGAAAAGGAAAAGGAAGCACATTCAAACAGAACTTTCCCGCTTTGGTAAGTTGAAAAACATACATATGTGATTAATATCAGAGACTACTAGGGTATGTTCATCAGCAGTTAGAGAATGATGACTAGTAAAATCAGAGTAATTAATGATCTATACAGCATGTAGCTATGAAAACAAAAATGCGTACCATGTGCTTTACTTTACTTAGTTCCTGTTGCTGGAACCCCTCTAATTCATCCATTTCATCCCTCCTTTGGAAAAGATTCAAACTCTGGTTCTTCATATCCTGTAACTGAGCTGTCAGAAACCTCTTCTCCTATTTGGAGAAAGAAGACATCATCTCAGGCAATGAAGACACCACAAATCCATATTATGTAAGCAGAACACTTTTTTAAAAAATCTACACAAAGTTTTTATTTTTATTCAGAATTCTTTTTTTTTTTTTTTTAAGATTTTATTTTTAAGTAATCTCTTCCTGCAACGTGGGGCTTGAACTCACGACCCTGGGATCAAGGGCTGCTCGCTCCACTGACTGAGCCAGCCGGGTGCCCCCAGCAGATTTCTTAATAAAGGAAAATCTGTAAAAAACTCTCTTGTCAGCAGACAATAATAAATGACAGGAAGCTTTACGGTGATATGACCAATACAGCATTATCAAACTCTCTTTAAGTTAAAAATAAGTGTGTTTTAAATGATACAGGTGTGAATAAGGGGAATAAGAGCAACAATTATTTGACACTTTAAAGTTCTTAAGTTTGATTAGAAATTGCAGATATTCATTTTACATGTCTATTCTCAGTGACATACTGAACTGGATGAACAACATGAATAACTGGAGTAAAACTGAATACCCTGAAAAAATTAGATGCATTTAAGTAGAACTGATGTCAGTTACCAATTTCAGCTAGGAAGTCAACAAAAATTAGACATGACTGGTGTCAGCAGGTTACAATTTACTAAATGACAGCTTCCCAAGATAGATTCTCTTCAGGACAAACCCTGCTGCTACAGTTTCCAATTCCTGACTGAAAAGAAATCAAAACAGTCTAAAAATAACATTTCCAAAAATTACAGTGGCTTCAAAGACCTACATAGATGTCTCATTGCTCTTTTGGGTCTAAAATATTTCCCAGTACCTCTTTGGGAAGGGGAGTGGGGGTGGGGATCGCCTTAGTACACTGAAGTAGGTTCAGTCCTGTATGTATCCTTTACCATAAGTTTAAAAGATAAAAAATAGTTCAACGAGAATTTCAACTACTACAATCTTAAAAGTTTCTTTTAAGAAAAGAAAACTTTAACCTAACCAATACCTCCATATTAAAGAAGACCATCATTAACACCATGTCCAGATTTTTTAAGCACAAATTTCTCTGGGAGATAGCTTGACTTTCCTGTAATTCTTTCCTTACATATATATGTTCAAGCATTCTTTAATAAACTGATAATCAGATTTCTACAGAATACACACAGAGAACTGGTTTAACTTGGAGTTTTATCCCCAGAATGTAGCAACAATAAAACTCATCTGCTTAATAAAATGAACAGTATATATATATATATATATATATATATATATATATATAGATTTATATATTAGAAATGAGTTATTTTATTTCATTTTTACTTATTTTTTTAAGATTTTATTTATGTTTTGACAGAGGGAGATACAGTGAGAGAAGGAACACAAGCAGGGGGAGTGGGAGAGGGTGAAGCAGGCTTCCTGCTAAGCAGGAAGCCTGATGTGGGGCTCGATCCCAGGACCCTGGGATCATGACCTGAGCCAAAGGCAGACGCTTAATGGCTGAGCCACCCAGGCGCCCCTTATTTCATTTTTAAAAAGATTTTATTTATTTATTCATGAGAGACAGAGAGAGAAAGAGAGGCAGGGAGACCAATGTGGGACTCGATCCCAGGACCCTGGGATCTCAACCTGAGCCGAAGGGAGACGCTTAACGACTGAGCCACCCAGGCGCCCAAACAGTAAATATATTTTGCAACTGAATATATCAATCTAAGAAATAATTTTTCTACCATGAAGAGTAATTTATGAGTATTCAATGAAAACAAAAAATGAATTAGGTAGCAGCATATAATTTGGGCTGAGGGAGCTGACTTTTAAATTAAAATGTTTTTCTAACTATAGGCCTGAAATTTCATCTTCCTGTTCATGTCTGGGAGCCAGGAATACATTACATTAAGCACCTACACAGTGTTACACAAGCTATGGTGCTAGAGTAATCAATTTTCCTCATCTGTGTTTAGCCAAGAAGTGCTCTTATCTGCTCAAAGCTGAGCCTTGAAAAATGCCCTCCTTCCCCACTGCCTCCTCTAAAAGTGCCACAGTGCCAATTAGGGCCCCAGCAGGAAACAGATGGGAGTCTTTTTTGAGAAGAGTTTAATAAAGGGACTTTTCAAAGCTGTGGGTGGGTAAGAAAGGACAAAGCTAATGTGCTAGTAACAGTTGGGTGGGAAGGGGCAAAGGGATGTAGAGAAACCCAGGAATATCCAACGAAAGCTGTGACCTTTGGCCATGGGATACAACTAACCTGAAGGGATCCCACATGGAGAAGGCTGGAGGAATAAATCCCGACCACACTCTTCTTCCACCCACAGTTCCTTTGGAGTTCCCCACTGGCAGAACCCAGTTGGAAACCAGAGGGCAAAGAGCCCAGCTGATGCAGTGTCCATCAGCCCCCAGGGACACAGAGAAAGGTAACAGGGGTGGAGAGGATATTGGGAGGGGCAAACAAAAGATATCCAGCATGCCCCTCAAGAAAGGGGATTGCATGAGCTTTTCAAGTCAGTGTCGAATCAACCAGCACCCTAAGTCTAAGAGGTGGTAGAGTGATCTGTACACTGGGTACCAGAAAAGCCATTTTCCAAGCCCTGAGGAGAGGCCGACATTCATACTGAGATAAAAATAAAAGATGAACTAACCTTTTCAAGCTGATCCATTTTTTCTGACCATTCCTAAAACAAAACAACAAAAAAGTACAGTTTCCAGGGAAGAGTATCAATAACATAAGGTTTTCAGAAAACAAAACAACCTAACTCCCCCTGCAAAGCAAGCAAGCAACCAACCAAAACAGCAAATAAAAAACCCCATAAAGTTGGCTTACTATTAAGAGAACCAAGAGTCCTAAAAGGAGAAGAAAATGAATTTTATAAAAAATTCTAGAACACAAATATAAACCTGCAGATTTTTACTAAGGAGAGCACCCAACAAAGCTGTAACGTGGTGTTCTGATGCAGCTTTTCACCTTATTCCTGAGTGTTTTTCCATGAATACTATTATTATCTCTTGGGAGTGGGTAGCTGGGACCAGCTGAGTTAGTAACTCTATAATTGATATTTAGAAATTAATTTAATGAAGGTTAAGAGGGACAGTCTTCATCAGCCCCCGATAATTATTTTCCTTCTTATCTTGAGTTTACCAATATGCTTTTTGCCATCTGGTATAAGTTAAAGGAAAAAGGATGATGCCCCTTATTCACAAATCACAGAACAGGAGGAAAAATAACCATCGGTACAAAAAGCCATATTCCAAGTGCCTACAATTTTAAGGCAATCTGAATCCACCAATTTTAGATGATATCTTCATTTATATACATTTATACCATAGTTATCCACTAAGTACTGGTGAGTAATGTCTTTTTCTGGCTAGCAAATGTCCTAATACTCACTTTAAAATACTCACTTTACCCATCCACCCACCCACCTACTGTAGATGAATTATATATTTTCTTAAGTAAAACAAAATAAATTGACCCTGTCTTACTTAATAAATCAAGATTATCACTATAATAGCTTGATGGTTTTCTTAAATTTAAAATGCCATCGAACAAAATATACTTCATAATTATTGTAATAGCTAGTAATAGTACTATTTTCCTTTCTTATTCATTCAGCATCTGTCAAAGGATGGTTCTAGTGAGATTACAGGAGTTCCTTTCTGTCTAACTCACTGGGTTGAGGAGACACTAGGGAACAGAGATTGTAAGAACTATGTACATCGTATAAGCTGGCTAGCTTGATAGGATTCTCCACTCTAAGAGGCAATCTAAGAGGCAAATGTTTGGGGCCTAGGCCCTGAGACAGGTTTTTAGAGGACAGAGACCACTTTCCTTCTCTTGGGATACGCCACCAGATTAGGACACATGATTTCCCTTCTCCCTGTTACAAAGTTTCACAGAATGACAGAATGATATTCTCATATTCTGGATGCATTTCATGATTACAACTGTAAATTATATAAGCATTCCTTTTCTCCTAGGCTGTAAATATTTTCTGCCAGGTTTATGTCATGATTTTTGAAATCATGTCACTAAGTGAAATCTTTCCACCAGTCTTGGGCGTCACATATAAAATACCTGGTCCTTTCTGGCTAATGCCAAAGCCAGTCCTTCTGCCATTTTGGCTCTGTTGGCTTGGAATGTCTCATTCTGCTCTTGAAATTTCCGCATGGAAGCTGTTAACAAAGAGGCTCTATTTGAGATATGGCAATATTTCAGAAACGGCATGACAAATAGCCCATGTGATTACTTTACAACTGTCACCTAACAAAAAAGATCAAGGTCACATAAGTGGATAATGAGACTGGGAAAAACCTGATCCATCTCAACTCTCCCAGAATCTTTTGGGCTTAGTAACAGACCACAGTTGTTTTTTTGCTTTCTCTTGTTCTGTTTTGGTAACAAGCAAGTACATACATTTAGGAAGATGCCAAAAAGTAACTTTTCCAATGGTACAATGATAGAACATGAGTTAGGTAGGTTGCTAGAAGATGCTAATGCTGTTGCTAAGTGATGGTTACTACCACTTTATCAGAGTTAAAAATAAAAATCAAAACTAGGCAAAACAAAAAACATTTCTTTCACTTTGTTTTCCTTTAAATTTTTTTTTTAGTATATATTATATCAACAGAAAATAACTTTCTACTTCTTTAGCATCTTTCTTGGACTGAATCCAAACGAGAACATATGAGTTAGGATAGACTAAATAAAATGTATGTTCTATTGTTGGAGGAGTGATGACAGCTAAAGATTTCCCCCCATTCTGAATGCAGCAGCATGAAGCCACAGCTAGAACCAGGCTCCTAATCTAGGTCTAAGGGCCAGGCACATGATTTTACTAAAATCTAACGGCAGCCAATAAACTGGTCAACTGGATGAAGACAAGCTGATACACATACTGACCTTCTCCTAAGAAGTATGCCCATAACACAACATAAATAGGAATTGTATGCTTATAAATACCAGACAAATGTTTTATCATCCTGATTTGAGAAGTACACTTACAAAGATGTGAGCTATGATGAAGGACAAACTTAACCATACACTATTGTTTCATTAAAAAAAACTAAACTCTGAAAAGATTGAAAAAAAGCAGGAAAAAAAATACGTACAATCCTGGTGTTTTTCTAATGCAATTTCAAGCTTCTCTTTTATCTTCTGCAAGTTTCGGACCTGTTCAGCATAGTCTTGGGTGAGGAGGGTGACGCACATACCAGGAATGGACAAACATCAGGAAAGGAAGTTAATTAAACAAAAAAATGAGTGAAAATGATGATGATTTTCTCAACCCGAAAACCACTGCTGTTAAGGAGAGCTAGGCAGCCAGCCTCCCATTAACAATGAACAACACAGGCAAACAGGTATAGTACAAACCATCCACGGTGTAAATGGTGAATACAAACAGGCAGATTTGTTTAGCCTGGATAGAGAGCAAGAACTGGGCCTAGTCTGGTCATCAGAAATGCCCTGCTCATTAATTTCAAACCTCAGTTTTCACTTCCCCTTCCAGTATTAGCAATAGGATAGGGCAAAGGGAATTCACTGAACAGCTCACAGTTCATGCAACTGAGTTAACAGTGGTTGGGGCAATAGCAAACACCTTACCACAGGATGGTCTTTACCGTGACAGTACTTAGTTCTCCAGAAAAGTCAGTTTCCTTTCTATGCAGGAACTGAGCTTCCTATGCCATATTAAAGGTGAAAGTCAGAATTAATTACCTGGGTGGCCAAAGAAGATAGTATGGTATAGGGGAAGAGTAGGTAGGCTTGGGCCAAATCCCAGCTCTGTCAGTCTGTAGCTGAGAGACTGACCGTAAGCAAATTATTGATTCTAGGTGTTAGTTTCTTTACTTAGCAAATGATGGTATTAATCATAATGGCCTCCAATGCACTTAGTAAACTAAGTGTTTTATGTGTCCTAATTAAATAACAAACTAGGTGTTTTCTATGTCAGAAGCACCTGACACACTTCAGTAAGACGTTCAATAAGAGGTAGCTGCTGCTGTTGTTCATACGGAACCTGGAGGAAGATACCCGGGACATAACCGGGCTTTCTAAGTGTCTGTTCTCTGCCCTGTCCCTTCTCTAATTTCAGTCAAGCCAAAACGATTCTTCCGTCTGTATTAGGGAAGGCACGTAGTATTTCACAGCTTTCTCCCCAACATTAAAAAAATGTAAAGTTATTTCACCTCTGTTCCTGATATTATTTACAAGTAGGTATAACAGGATTGTTAGAATTGAATTTAAAGAAGACTGTAGTGAAGAGTATGGACTCTAGCAAGCAAATCTGGGTTTGGACCCCAGCTCCACCACCTACTCCTTGTGTGACCTTAACCTCGCTAAGCCTAGTAAGGCTATAGTGAGGACAAAAGGAGATAATGGACGAACTGGGAGCTGGGAGCTATACTACAGACCTTTGATAACCTCACAGACACAAATATTTCGCATATAATTTGGTGACTTTTGTAGTCTACTGCTTTCATTTCAATAAAATGTGCATAAGGCCAAGGGACAAAAAGAAACACAGAAGCCACTGACCACTTCACAGGATGAAACTTTCAAAATGTATCCACTGGCAGAAACCAAAATAAGAACTCACAACTCTATCACAAACATGCCCTGTTCAGGCAAAGGATATAATGGAAGTTGTGTAAATTGTAAACTACACACAAAAGACAGAGAGTTACAGCTTCTATACAGGTGCTGAATATCACTGGAAAGCAGTCTAAAGACCCAGAAGGACACTTAACACAGGTGATATGTAGCAAGTGGTAACGTAGCACCAAACCCTCTCTGGCGCTCGAGAGTCTGTCTGTTGGTCATTCCCTGTAAATATTATCCCCTACCCTTCTCCACCTGAAAGCTATGCTAACAGGTGAAAGATCATCAAATCTAGTCTACATATATTTTTCATACCTTTTATATCCATGGCTAGAAACCTCAGGAGCAGAAAAACCTAGGTTTTTTTTTTTTAACTTTAAAACTCAGTTTTGAATTTATACTATTCAATATACTAACAAAAGGAGGGAACAAAAAGGGTACAAATTGCTCCATTTTGACTAAGAAATATGTCAATATATGTCAATATAACCATAAGGTTATCCTATATGGCTATGTGATATAGATAGAGGGTCAGCCAAGGCAAGGTTTCTTTGCTTGCTTTTTATGAATTCTTAGACATACCAGAAAGTCTGACTTCTAATTTCCGTATCTGTTCATTCCTTCTCAAAAGCTGGGATGAAAGATCTTCTCTGGAGCTGCTTCCATCGGAAGCCTGTTGAAATACAGACAAGAAGAGGTCACATTTATACATGGGTTTTCAGCAGTGTGAGACCCCAGTACTGAACCAGAAAACAACAACTCTTGTTTCAGGTTTCATTATACTTTAATTGTGATCACTGAAGAGCTTCTTAACATACCTGGGTCCTAGCTTCTCCACCTATAAAGTAGAAGCAACACTATCCCCTTCCACAATGTGGAGGAGGTAGGAGATGCTAAACAGACAAACTGTGTGTGTGTGTGTGTGTGTGTGTGTGTGTGTGTGTGTGTGTGTACACGGTATTAGAATAAGCGGTGGTAAACAAATCCATTATGACCATATCACACCAAGTACATAATACAAAGAATGTATTTTCAGTGATAAAAAAGAAAATCACTTTATTTTTCCAAAGGAAAAGTCCTGGCAGAAAGAGGGGGGAAGGTTCTTAAACAAGGGGTCAAAGGCTGGAGAAGAACTGATCACTGAATTGACTGATAAAGTTTCAGTATCTTCATCTAAAATGCATCAAAGACTTAAGCAGATAATATGGATTCAATAATCAATATATTAATGAGACATCAATCTTCCCCAACAATCTATTTTATTTTAAAAAAAAGTTTTAAAAGATTTTCTTTGAGAGAGAGTGAGAGTGAAAGAGCAGGGGGAGTGGGAGAGGGAGAAGCAGACTCCCTGCGGAGCAGAGAGCCTGATGCGGGGCTCGATCCCAGGACCCTGAGATCATGACCTGAGCTGAAGGCAGGTGCTTAACTGACTGAGCCGCCCAGGTATACCCCCAACAATCTATTTTAAAATGTTTGGATATTACTATTACTTTGGGCACTGCTTACTATTTCTAATAAGTAACTTACTTTATCTTTTTTCTTTGGATTATAAAATTTTTAAAAATACAGAACAGTAGGGAGAATGGTTTAATGAACGTTCTCCATCTACTTTAATAAATGCTGATGTTTTCTCCTATTTGCTTTATTATTTTACTGAAATACTATAAATAACAGACATCATGACATTTTGCCATAAATACTTGGATAAACATTTCCAAAATATAAGGTCATTTTCCTCTTTAGCCACAATACTGTTACCACACCTAACAAAATTTTATCTAGTATCTAGTCTTTAGTCATGTTTCCCCATCTTATACCCAAAATATCTTCAAAGGTGGTTGAAAAATTCACTTTAAATATTCATTTACGCATCTAGACACTTGCCCAGTCCAACATTTACTGAGACTTGGTAAAGTTTATAGTTAGGAGGCAGTCTCTGGAGGTGGAAGACCTGGGTTGAAGACCCATCCTCACCACTTATAAAATGAGAACTTGGGCCAAGTAGTCACCTTCTCTGTGCATTGATTTCTTATGTAAACTATGACAACAAACATGATCAATTTCACAGAGCAGTGATGAGGATTAAATAAATCAACACTTGTCAAGTCCCTGAAACAGAGACCGGCACATAATTAGTTGTCACACATATCATCTATCATTAGTAGACGTTAGGATTATTACTGCTAGGGAGACACCCTCGTCTCAGCTGTGCTAAGCACTGGGAACAGGGGTGAAACAAAGAGTCCCCACCTAAAACAGCAGCAGAAGCAGCTACCATTATGAAATGCCTGTTAAGAGCCAGGCACTATGCGAAATGTTATTTTCACCAGGCAGAAGAGGTAACATCACAGGCCTGCAACCAAAATCCTTAGCAAGGTCTGCTTGTAAAGCCTGCCCCGGGATGGCCTACAGGAACTTAGACTTTGAGAGGGTCCCCACCATTCCTGATAAGAACAGTTCACTGTATCTAATCTATTTGTGTACAAAAATATGGTTTATGCTGAACACCTGTTTTCCTTCTGGGAGTCTGGAATTTTGGTAAATGCTTGGCAGAGGGTGCCTATATGAAGAGCGTCCAATAAAATCCCTGGGCACCAAGTCTCTAAGGAGCTTCCCTGGAAGACAACATTTTAGGTATGTTGTCACGACTCATTGCTGGGGGAATTAAGTATGTCCTATGTAACTCTACGGGGAGAGGACTTTTAGAAGCTTGCACGTGGTTTTCTCCAGGCTTTGCCTCATGCGCCTTTTCCTTTTGCTGATTATGCTTTGTATTCTTTCATAGCAGTGAGTAAAACCATGCTGAGTTCTGTGAGTCCTCTTAAATAATTGAATCTCAGGGTGAACCTTGGGGACCCCTGACACACATACTTTAATAAAGACAAGTACAGTTCCCATTTTACAGATGTGGAAATGAAGGCATAGAAAAGGAACTTGCCCCAAGTCACGTAATAACGATGAAGCTGGGAATCCAATCTAGGTCTGACTCCTTAACCTGGCCTGAGTTCCTAACTACTACTTTCTACTGCTTTTCATAAGCCTCCCAGTTTAGTGAGAGACAAACAAGCAAACCACCAATAATGCAGTGTAATAGGTGCTGTTAGAGGCCATTAGGAGATTAGGGACCAAACTCGGCCAGGAGGGGTAAGTGGTAGAGGGGGTGACAAGGGCAGTTGGGGTCAAGAGGGCTTCTTGAAAGTAACATGTAAGTGGAGTCTTTTTTTTTTTTTAATTTTTAAAAAATATTTTATTTATTTATTTGACAGAGAGAGACACAGTGAGAGAGGGAACACAAGCAGGGGGAGTGGGAGAAGCAGGCTTCCCACAGAGCAGAGAGCCTGATGTGGGGCTCGATTCCAGGACCCTGGGATCATGACCTGAGCCGAAGGCAGTCACTTAATGACTGAGCCACCCAGGCGCCCCGTAAGTGGCGTCTTGCAGGAAGCACAAAGTCTGTCAGAGGAACTCAGGAGCAAAAGGAAGAGATGAGACATTTCAGAGAGAGGAGACAGCAAGTGCAAAAATCTGTGGGCATGAAGGAATGTTGCCCATTCTAGAAATGCAATAGGCTCAACGTGGATGGAGCACAGGGTCTAGGAAAGTAGAGGGAGATGAGGCTGGACAGGTAAGCTGTGCCAAGACCTATGTATGAGTTTGCACTTCATCTTGAAGGTGATGGGGAAACCACTTTCGTTTTAAGCACTGAAGAGACATGTCTCCTTAGAGACTAGAGACTCGGTGCCCAGGGATTTAAAACCACCGAGGAATTTTAAGCATTGAAGAGACATGAACACATCTGCTCTGGGGAGTTACTGGAGGCAAGGAGTCCCGACAGGCTACCACATTTGTCCAGAAAAGAAAGACAGCTTGAAATAAAATGGAAGCAAATGCACTACTAGCAGGGAGTAAAGGGAGCAAGGCTGAGGCATTCAGAAGATGGAAAACCAAAATACTTGTTAACTGGAAAATGGAGGGAAGAATCTAAAATGCTTCTAAAATTTCTGGCTGGTTACTTGGGAGATGGAGATACATATTTGGAGATGGGAGTTAACACATTCAGTTTTGTTCATTTTAGAATTTGAGACACTAGAGGAAAAGCATCTGATAGGAGAAATATATGCACTGGGATATACAGGTGTGGAGACGGGGAGGGACGATCAGAACGTACAGGCAGTAAGTGCAAGCACACTGCTTTAGAAGTCTCAAAGGAAAATACTTCCTGAATTCAGGCCAGTATCTCTATCTGGAATACCTTCAAGATGAGAGACTTCATTTAGCATGTCATCGTGAAGGCAAAGCAGGTACTTCTGCCACAGAACTCAGCACCGAAACTATATCCTTCAGCCTGGGGATCAAATGTGCACTACATTTCCTGTCAAATACAGCAGCCAATGATTTAGATCAGGTAATCTTATTGTTCCATCCCAAAAACCGAATAGCTTCTGCCATGTAATCTGACCCAGGACAGGTAGTATAAGAAAGGAGGAAGAAGACTCATCTGACCCTGGAAACAACTCAACTGTCTATCATGAGGAAAAGGCAGAGATAAATTGTGACCTTGTCAAATGCTGGAATCTTATACAGTAGTAAAAACAAATGAATTACAGCTTCATGGAAGACAGATGCATTCTAGAAACATGGCGAGTTAAAAAAAAAAAGTAAGTTCAAGAAAACTATGGAGGGGCACCTGGGTGGCTCAGCTGGTTAAGCATCTGCTTTCAGCTCGGATCGTGATCCCAGAGTCCTGGGATCAAGTCCCACATCGGGCTCCTTGCTCGGCGGGGAGCCTGCTTCTCCTTGTGCCTACTGTGAGTGTGCCCTCTCTCTCTATCTTTCTGACAAATAAAAAAAAAAAAAAAACCAAAAGACTATGGAATACCATTTTTATAAAGTTCACAAATAAGCAATACTAAACAACAAATTATTTATAAATATATACATATCTGGGAGGATATTTTAAAAATCAAGAGAATGATAAATGTAAAATTTAGGATGGGGTTATCTGGAGGGCAGGGAGGAAGAAAGTGAACTGGGCAGGAGCATACAGGTGGCTTCAACAGTATCCATAATGTTCTAGTTCTTTGGATAGGTGACACATTAACAAGCATTCATTTTATTTTTATGCTTTATACTTTACACTTATATACATTCTTTTATATATATCAAGCACTATAAATTATTTTTTAAAAAATGTGACTTTGAGAGGATCCTGTCATATGTCAGAGACATACTTTTAATCCTAAGGCATGACAACTACCTAACACACAGCATCTTCATTTTTCTGAAATCTTTCCAAACACAAAGGTCCTTTACAAATAAGGGACATACTGCAGTCAGGGGTGTCATCTTTTCATCAACTTTCCCAGTAAAATGGTGTACTCTAACTCCACACCGTAACTCACAGACCATGTTAGGCAACAATGACTTAAAGTATATTTGTCTGCAGAAATAATAGGCCAAGGCTTTTTGAGAAATGAAATATAAAAGAAGATGCACAAGGTATAAAAAGTATAAGAGGACAATGTAGACTATGAAAAGGGACTCTGAAAAAATAGGGAAAAAAAACCAGAAAAGCACCTCAGAGTAGGAAGAATCAGATATGAACTCCATATAATCTCTCAATTTTAAAAGAAAATATTTATGGAAAAGACTTTCTGAAATACTATTTTTAAAAATAGATCAAGACTGTACCAAATATTAAAAACTAGAGAAGATACTTACAAAGTCATCTCCTGAGTCAGCTCCCATAGAGGCAACCGATTCCTTGCTCACCGACCGTGGGATCCTAGTAGCACCTCCTGGCCTCTGGGCCACGGCAGTCTCTTCTGCAATTTTCTTCTTTAGTTTTGCAAACATTTTTGCTGTGTGGTTATCCTGCACAGATGACCAGCTCGTGAACCACCCCAGCAGTCTAGTCCTTAGGCCAGCAACCAGGACTTCAGAGACTGGTGCCTAAAAAGTTCCAGACATCCAAGATAGCTGCATTCCCACTTAGATGTGGGCCAAGGGCTTATGGGACAGTATCTACAAATCAGACAAAAGAGAGCTAAGTTAAACATAGGAGAGATTTCACCACTGAGTTGCTATGTTAAGCTTCAGGTTTCAAAATTAAGTTTCATAATTTTACATGTACATTTAATAGAACACAATTGCCAAACATTTAAAAAGCACTCAGATGCTTCACATGCATAAACAGATAAGGAAATCCAGTCTCAAGATGAGGTAATCTGCCAAAGAGTGTGTGCGTAAGTGGCAGGGCTGGTATTTGAACCCAGGACTCTGACTCACAAGTTCGTACTCTTTATTATGCCACGTTGGCTATGGCATATAACACATATAGTAAAATTTCCCAGGGTACACATTAACATCACATAATGGCTTGGAATCCTTCCTCCAATATTAACTACAGTTTACTTTTTTTTTTAAGATGAAGACAAAAATATGTAACTCAGTATGGGGATAAAGGTATAACCTTCTAATGTTCTAGGATGGTTTGCCAACAGCTGTTGACTAGAAAAAGCTGACAACCTAGAAAAAACAGGCAAGCCAGACAACTATCCTACATAAGCATCAGATACCCTTAAACACTTCTTAGAAATACTGTATGGTTCTCTTTAAGGGTGATTAAAATGACCTGAACTTAGTTTCATCTTCAGAATGTTTTACATGATATTCAACATGAGATTCAAACGTCTTTTCCTCCCAGTGTTATATGAAACACCAATATTCTGGTTCCAACCTTAACTTTCCATGTTCTGTGGAGGACACCTAAGTTCTGCTCTAAGATCTACAAATGACTTCTTACCACTTCAGATTATCCATTTAAGTCTGTACAATTCTTCAATGTCTGTAAACCACCTACTCACCTGGCTTATCTACCAGATTTAAAACAGCCTGGAGGTCAAAGCATTCTGTCCTGCATGAAAACAAAGATAAAATGCATTGGGTATTTCCTTTCAAGTGTAAGGCCAAAATACTGGGGGGAAATGAAAGAGGAGAGAGGGAGGATTAACCAGAAGACAGAGGGGAGAATCTATCACTGCCACAATCCTCAGGGGTTACCTTCTCATTTGCATTTGTGATCTGCCCAAGAGCTTCACTAACAGGCACAAAGAACAGAATCTCTCATTGGTGCCTAAATTTACTTCACCTTGGGAGCCCCGAGCAAAAACAACTTGAATGAGATTACCGTTTCCCAGGGCCAGTATTTATTTCTCAGTTGATTCTGACAGTCACACATTGTTTGTTTACCTGGCCAGACCCGGGCTGCCTAGTCACAGAACCTTGACTCGCACTAAGAACGTCGCTGAGAAAAAGAATGGCTAAATTGGGTAAAAAAACAACTGCCTAACGCCCAGGGATAGGCAGGTACCTGCCACGGCAGTCTGGATCCCACTCACTCAGGCTCCTTCTAGAACCGCCCGCGTTGGGACTGTCAAAGAAGGGAACGACTCAACGTCTCTCCCATCTGACAGCAAGGAAACTGAGACCCAGAGAGGCGCAGTGACTTGTCCAGGATCGCTCGGGGGGGGGGGGGAAGTAAAATCCTGAAACCCTAGGCTCCAGACTCCCCGGCCGGGCAGCTCCACTGCCCCCACCCCCGCCCTTTCAGCACCCCGGTACCGCCCCCTGCCTTGGGTCTGGGGCAGAACGAGGCCACCGGGAGAAAGAGGGGCCTTCTGGCATCTCCGGCCCCCGCCTGCGCACCTGCCGCTCTCTGGGCAGCGGGCAGAGCCCCGCCTCCGGGACCTCTCGTGAACGCCGGCCCGCGTCACCAGCCCCCACGGCCGGCCGGCGAGCAGAGCAGCGACCCGGAACCGCACCTCCACCAGCGCGCCGGAAGTGGCTGAGCGCGGGGCGGGCCTGCCACGCGCATGCGCCCGCGCGCGGTCTCCGCGGTCGACGGCGAGATCTTCGGGGCTGCGGTTGGGCTGGGGCCGCTGGAGGGCGCGGGTGCGAGGCTGGGCGCTCCCTAAGGCCGGCCCGCCACGTCACCCAGCGGCCAGACCCGTGGATGATGACTGGGTGGCCAAAGCCTTTATAGTTGTTCTTTTTTTTTTCTTAAAGGGGGGGGTGCGGAGCGGGGGAGTGGGAGGAGCCTTGTGGCAGAAGGGAAAAACACCCAATTGGTGCCGTGGGGCCAGCGTGCGCTGTGCGGTTTTGAATCCTAAGGCCACTGCTGCGCGCAACAGAGAGGGAGTTTCCATTCCGCTCCCCGCATCCCAGTCCCACTGCGCCCTGCACAGCCGCCTTGCCACCGTGTAGTAGGTGATCACTGCGAGTCCGTGCCTCCCTCCTCACACAGAAGCCTGTGGCTTCAAGAAACTAGAACTAGGTCTTGGCGCTTTGTGACTAGTTTTTAACTTTGGTGCCTATGACCTACTGCAGGTTATACGTTTTATATCGCAACCCAGGACACACATAATGTACCATTGAAAAAAGTTTCCAGAACCATACCCTTATATAATGCACTCCGATATATTGCATTTCATTAATAAACAAGCTGATGGCAGCCCACTACGTTCATTACCTACTAATGGTCCTCCAACCCTTTTTTTTTAAAGATTTTATTTACTTACTTGAGAGAGCGAGAATGAGAGAGAGAGAGAGAGCACATGAGAGGGGGGAGGGTCAGAGGGAGAAGCAGACTCCCCCGAAAGCAGGGAGCCCGATGCGGGACTCGATCCCAGGACTCCAGGATCATGACCTGAGCCGAAGGCAGTCGCTTAACCAACTGAGCCACCCAGGAGCCCGGTCCTCCAACTTTTGACAGTTGAACAAACTCGAGAGAGGTAACACTTCCTCGTTCAAAGGTACACTGCAAATTAGCCTGCGTAGGGTCTCTGGACTCCTCAATGCCAACCAAGTCAGACATTCAACATTGAAGTCGCTCTTGTTCTTGCCCAGGACCCCAAAACAGCCCGAAGGTCAGCAGCTTCCACCCCCCGCACCCCCCCACCAAACAATCCTCCCTCCGCGTGTGACAGTTTTGACCACTTCGAGCAGGGCAGGGAAAAAACCAAGACCAGGACTCAGAAGAAATTTACCAACTAGAATAAGCATCGAAGCTACGACCCCAAGACAGTCTGAAGTGTCTGAGATATTATCTGAAAGAAGCAAACCCTAACAGTTTAGCACTTATGTTGTCAATAATTCTGAAGAAGTACCAAAAACTTTAAGCAAATAATGTTTATTTTTATATTGATGATACACTTAATATACACGTGGATTCAAGATACAAAATTCATTTACAAGAGTTCACACCTGATGAATGTAGTCACATTCCTAGAGAACATTTATCATTGCAAAAATGTTTTCAATACACTGACAACAAAACTCAAATTTTCTGTAATCTTGTTATTAAAAAAACATCAAAACAACAATGTTTAACTTTCCATCCTCTACCATTTAAGTGCCCTTAAGGTGGTAGGCACCATAACAGAAGAAAACATTGGAAAGAAGGGCCTACTGAATCCACTCTGTGGAATCACAGTGTTTACTCTGAAATTCATTTAGTGAAGTAGTTAGTGAAAGGCTTGCTATCCTTTATAACAAATCACATATCATACAAGAGTCAAAAGTGATGAACTCAAGAAAATAAAATGTTTCAATAACTTCTCAGTTTCTAAAATCTATGAAGTATTAACCATAACAGACAAAGCAGAAAAAGGCTACTGAAAAGGAACACAACAGGAAAACATCCTTAAGAGTATGTATGGCTTAAGCAATTCAGAAACACAACAAATAAGACTTTCACAATACCACAGATATTCAAGTCAAATGATACTGACAATATAATTTCCCCCCTTAGTCATTGGTAGTAAATAGCCCCTTCAAAATTTATTCTACTGATAACACATATAAAACTAGTGAATCTAAATGGTTTGCTGTCTCACAGAGCTGAGTTGACAGATTTTGATCTAAAATATTAACCCACAATACCCAAAATTTAGTACAAATGAGCAACAAGACAAAGTCTCAAGGATTACAGTGATTTGTGAATAGCTAGATAGGCAACCAAATAGCTTCATTATTTGCACACAGATTAGCAGCACTTGGATAAGAACTGTTACATGAAAATTATTGTGCTTCAATCTCTTGAGGAGAGCTAATAAATATAACTCTATAATCCCTATAGTGTTACAATTCTATAACATTCAGTTACAGACGAGCACAATTTTTTAAAAAGTATTTCACACCACTACAAAATCAAGTAATTGTAGTCTCCAAATGTAATTTCTCCTATGATTGAAACAAGTGCATTTATGCCTAATATCCATAATACAGACAATAGGTTCACCATTATTTTCAGGGAAAAAGATCAAACATAACTTATTTTTAACTCCTATGTGATTAGCTTAATCTTTAGTGATGATATGAGTAAAGAAAAAGGATATTTAACCTTACAATGGAAACTGCCCAGAGAATATAATAATGTGGCCTGAAATGACAATAATCTTTAGAGCAAAGTAAGAAATGACATAACTGCTTCATCTGACTCAATGATTAATGAAACCACTATTTGTACTGGTACTACACAATGAAGATAACCTATTTGGATAATTTCCTTCACTTGTAAGCTCTACTGTGAAAATGTTAGGACATTGTATCTGCTTTTCCTATTATCTAAGTCCTGTCTACCTCAACTGGAAGAAGTCTCCTTGATTGTTGAATAGCAAGGTTTATTAAAAACAAACAAAAAATCATTGGAGAAATAGCCATATGGTCTATGTGGCAAAAGGAATGTATCCAGATAATTATAAAAAGCTACAAACATGCCCTAAAATATTTTACCAAACCATTAAAAGTTATTTTTAATAAGATAAACAAGAGCTAAAAAAAAAAACCTCATTCTTCAAGAAATAATAAAAATTCTTATTGCCCTAAAACAGTCTAAGCAATTTTTTTCCTGTAGATCTTTAATATTTCACAACATACAATTTAGGAAAAAATAATATGCAGTGGAGGGTAAGAATAAAATTTTAAAAAATGCAGTGGTTATTTCTCTATGGTTTGGAAGTATTTACTTTGGGATTATCATATATTATCATTTCACAATTTATAATGGTTTGTCATACTGATTTGATGTTTGAGAAAACTTATGGGTCAAATTTTAATGTTCACAAATCTTAATTTTCATCACAGACAGGAGGATATTCACAATAGTTTCAAAAGGGAAAATAATACTAGTGATATAAAAATTTAAATACTGTTTACTGCAGACCTATAGGAAAGCTAGCTATAATTCCCTATCTCGTTCTGAACATGATAGAATCACTCACTCTATTTCATTCCATAAGCCTATCAGAAGAGTAAAACTCTGAACCCTGAAATTACCAATGTCTCAAACAATACTATACCTAAAAAGATGATTGTCTTAGGATATAGACTGGAAATGTTCACCGAAACAGGAAAATATTCCTAATAAGTAGTATGTTTTATGACCAAATTCAGGCTTAAGTGAATCTGGAGTGCAGAATTAACAAAATGTACTTCTGTTAAAAAACTGAATCTACTGTTCAAATAATGTTTTTAAAAAACCGCACTGCTTAAAAAAAAATCACACTGCTTAGAGTAGTTTGATAAGTAATAACTTTTAAAGAAAACACAAAAGAAATTAACAAAAATATTTTAAAATTAAGAAATGGTGCTTCAGTGATTAACAGTATTATACAGAAATGGAATTCTCAAAAGTTACACCAAACTAGTAAGTGAAAAATACCAAATTTAGCTTAAGAAAACATTTCATATTTACAGACTTCCAAAGGAAATATTTCTATGGCACCAACAAGTCAGTTACACTTAATTTAATACATTTATCTCTACCCAATTTAAGGGTATGTCCCCCGACATTATCCTGACACCCTTCCTTTCAATAGGTGATTGATTCCATTCACACATCAATTATTTTTCCTTAAACAAAAGGCATGCTTAATAAGTCTGTTCAAAAACTCAGTTAAGCTGGAACACAGTGTAATACCATGTTCTGAAATTTTAGTTTGAGGAAGATGAATTGCCTTTTTTTTTTTTTTTTAAGGTAAACTGGTCACAGTATCCAGGAGAAACTGGGAAGTACAGCATGAATAGAAATAAAGTATCAAAGTTTTAAGAGTACAGAATGGGGGAAAGGTTTGGTTTTCTAAGCAATTCTTACCTTATTTAACTGCAAAGTAATTGGCTTTACAACTGTTAGAAACATAGGTCATATTCACAATGTCAGTCTCATCTACTGCACTTCTTACTGCTGCTCCTTTCCTCAAATTAGCGTCCATACTGAGCCTGAGTCAGTTCTATGAATTTTAAATAGCATAACATCTGCTCTGCTACTCTCCAATTGCAATGAATGATTTGGTTACTAGAACAACAGAATATCAGACACTATGGACATTTTCACTGATTTTCCAGAAATAATACATTACCAAATTTTAATATTTATTTATGAAAAAGGCAATTACAACTTTATTTTAAATTTAATACTGTAACTGAGAGGTGTTGTGAATAGTTGGCTTCTTATTAAAAATACAATGAAGAGGCAAATGTAACATTTGTTGGGTGGTAAAACCAACTTCTGACTCTAACTCCTCTTTTTAAGATAATTTACTATTGTATTACACAGATGTAATCGTCTGAAAAATAATGGGGTAAACAGTTGTTTTGCAGTTATATTTTATCATGCAAAAATAACCTCTACTTAATTTTTGCGGTGAATGTGTTCAAGGGTATACTAAACATCTCCTACACTCTTCCGTGCAAATACACAGGCCACGTGAAAACAGGAGTAACGAACACTGATATTCTGTGATATTCCGTGTTCACAC